TGACAGCTTCAAGCATATTAGGTTGATAAGACAAGAAAATGCACAAGCATGTGCCAGCTGGTTTTTTTAACTTTTTTGCGCTCGGTCTTGCCTTCAACCACAAAACAAGGAAAAGTGCCTTCAACGAACGCATTACAACTTGAATATCAGCATAAAAATCAGAGTCGATTGTCCCTGATGCGGATGCTGCTGCTGATATTAAAACCAATGCTGATAATCAGTGGATGCTGATGCTGATATTCGCACCAACCCTGGTATGGATAGTGTTTTACGTCCAGTGCCAGCGTCCCGTGTCATGGCACATTTAGAGCCATATTTAGAGAACGGTAGCAATTCTGTTGTACAAATTGCCAAGTTTTTTTTTTAATAATTAAAATAAAAGAAATTGGTAAAGTTATTATATGACTAGCTGACCCAGCCATGCATTGGGTTGATGGAGATATTTTTTTTTAATAAATCCCATCATTTAAGTTAGACCAAATTACAAATCCATGTGAAATTTTATTAAAATCGGAGTATAATAATTATTTTTCATTGGACATGTAGCTACGGATTAACAATTACAATAAAAATAAAATTGAGTCCTAACTATAAAAAAAAAAAGTTGTATTTTGAATTATATTTTCGGTTTCACGGAAAAGTTAATTAAATCTAAAAAAAATATATCTTTAACTGCTAGAATTCAATAAATTGTAATTAATAAAGCGTTATCTGCATCACTCATCGCTGTGGGCGTGCCTCAGGGTTCAATATTAGGACCATTGCTTTTTCTAATATACATTAATGATCTTCCTCACTTAATTTGCGCGAGACAGTATTATTGACAGATGACACCACTTTAGTGTTTAATGCGAAGAGAGAAAATGATGGTTTTGACAATGTATGTAAGTAGTACTCTCGCCAATAGTCTACATTGGTTTGATAATAATTTGAAGTTTCAAGTCAAATAAAACGAAATGCATAAAGTTACGATTCATAATGTGACGCAAGTCAGTACACTAATAATCTCTAGAAAACATCATCCGATTTCCATAGCAATTTCTTAAATAGTTATTACTCTTATTACTCTACTCTTTTATTACTCACTATTTAAAGTTCGATATTTTTGACGTTTATGTTACGATATAGTACCTACAGCAAATTGATAACGACAGAAGAGAAAACGTCATACTGAGACGTGTTGACTTATTTTGGTCGGATAATGGTTTAGATCTGCGCCCTTATTCTGTATCTCGGGACACTTCTATCGAAATAAATTGTGCACAAAGCTCAGTGGGCAAGCGGTCATCGCGCGGTATTGGCATTCTGTAACTCATTTTTGATAAATTGAATAATCCCTAGGCAGTTGATATATTATTTTTTAATTTGGGTGATATCACCCATTGAAGTTCATTTTTATGGTCACTTATGTTTAAGAAGTACAAAATAACAGTATATTGATAGAAAATCGAGCGTCAAAATGGAGTTCAATGGAAACCACCGATATTGACGCTGTAAAATTGCGAATCATCGATAGAAAATCGGTTAACATAGTCAGTTGAGTTATGGAATACGCCTGCCGGTACTAAAGTTAGGCTCAGTTTTATAATGAGACTGTTTATAAACAGATTACACATCTGTGATATAAGTTATCCTAATACTTAGGAATTGACTAAATTTAAGGAGTAATAATATATTCGACATAATTTATTTTTAATTACCTGAAACACGAGAATAAATATCCACGTAAAAAAAACACTTAACTACATATGCAAAAACAAACCAATTGTAAATTAAACTATTCACGGTCATTTGGTCGGACCGTCACTCGGCATGCGAATTTTAACAAGCGGGAATCGAATCTGAGTTCGTTCTCTGACTACAAATGAGCCCAAATTCATGAACCTAGCTTACATAATGTTATGACGTAATGGGATACATCATTATATTACTATAGTCTGCCATCCATGTGGATATAATAAAACTGAGCTTAAAGATGCAAAGAAAACGGAATCAACCGCAGAACACAGAATTCTGTGTTCTACGGAAACAGGCCATTGATATGGATGCTACATTTAATTAGTTGTATACCTATTCAAATAACAGATTTGTTCTGATACTTTACAGTTTTAAAGATATACCTAAACTTTTTAAATGTAACCGAGTTTCAAAAGAAACCAATAAAAAACATTTAACATAGCTGCACTCCTGCCGTATATTATATTATAGATGTTATATTCACAATTCCGAATTTCATTATTATTAGCAATAATATAAAGTATAAAACGTTATTATTTAGAATTACTTAGATTTAATTTGAAACTTCCAGTTGCTTGAAAAAGAAGAGCCTTGTGGTAAATAACAAAATAAATTATTGGAAGTGTAATAATAATTTTATCGAAAATTGGTCTCGTGCATGTAATGGTGCCTTAAGTATTTGATATTAATGGTTGGACAGCAAGACACACACATGCAAATAATATAATTTTACTATGAAAAATACCAATGGCTCGCACACCTAATACGTGTTGTTGTATCGCACATATTTATTGTTAACAAGAATTCATTCCTCGAATACGGTGAAAATAAATAAATAAATATTACCTATTTGAATATAAGCATCGGCACGTTTTAGAATAATAAGTGTTTATTGTCACAGATTTTAGAACGGCAAAGAATTTAAGTTATAATGTCGTCTAAAATATAAAAATCAGTAAGTTTCAATTCTTCCATAATCGAGTGGCTCACGTTTTCTAAGTGTCTTCGCTGAGGTACCCGGTTCGATTCCCGGTCATCTCAATGTAGGAAACGATCTTTTCTATATTGTTTTTTGTTGGATGTTATGGTTTCGAATCTCCTTAAAATACAAATGCTTTAGCTACTTGGGATCTGAGCAAATTATACTGTTGTCTAATATTTAATATTTAGTTGTCATATGTAATTAAATAGAAAACTAAAATATAAGTATACCTAAATAAAAATAAATTCTATCCTTACTCTATTGTAAAACCGCTGCCGTATGATGAAATATCCAAGAAGTATTATTGGGAAAAAAAACCTGTTAAAGTGAACTACTTTGCTGATTTTTATACGCGCTATTGCACCATAGAGGTTCAATGGAATAAAAAAAATAATAGGAATAAAACCTTTGTTACCTTTAGGTTTAGGTCATATATGAATTTGACCTACCATGAGATTGATACGTCTTTGGACACAGGCATGAGTCAAATACAAACAATCATACAAAAACATTTGGATATGAAAAGTTCTCGTTGGATCCCACATAATTTGAATGATTTGTGTGGACATAGTAACCGGTGACGAAACATGGATTTATAGTTATGATCCCAAAACAAAGCAGCAATCGAGCGTATGGCTCTTTCGAGATGAGCCTAAACCTTTTTTATTAAGACTGGACACGAAGCTACTGTGGCTTTAGAAAATTGTCAAACCATGAATTGCGACTGCTACACGACCATTTGTTTACCGAAAATTATCGACAAATTCCGTAAAAATAATATGTTTAAAAAAAATTAAAACTATCTTACCTTTTAAGTAATACCAAACTTCAGATACATATGAAATTTGATTAAAAATAATCATGACATATACATAATATAATCTAAGAAAACACATCGTGACACGATGTTCTTGAGTACCTTTAAAAAATTACCTATAGTGAATATCTACTTATGGCCTGAAAAAAAAATACTGTTAAGCATTAAGACCGCGTCGGTTGTGTACCTACTCTTAAAAAGGTATTATTTTTTCATGTACGATGAAGTCTTAATTTATACTCTATACATATAATATAAATAGGAACAATTTGATTGTTTGTTTGTTTGCATCGAATAGATTCCGAAAATACTGAACCGATTTTAAAAATTATTAAAAATTCTTTCACCTACTGGTAGCTACATCATACGAGTTAACATAGGCTATAATTTACGCGTGCGATGTCGCGGGAAAACAGCTAGTTCTTTCATGAATTGACTATGAAGAACTGTATGCATCTCACTGAGACTCGAAGGTTGAAATTCAAACCGAGGTTAACATTGCACCGACGAAGCATTTACAAAAGACATTAATAGAATTCGAATTAATAATGGTAAGTTTTGAATATAAAATTTCACGGTTTTTCACTAGACATTACGCTGCCAAAAGTGAGTAGTTTACAACTTTATTACGGAAATCTAAAACAATATTAGTATCACACAACCATCGAAATTAATCTCTACTGCTGCGGCACAGGTCTTCCCTATGGATGGAATTGAATCGAATAGGGATCACCAGTGCCCAGCACATAACACAAGCAGTTCTTTTTTTCTTATTTTGCTTTGGGTGTCTGCATCATTATTATTACATATTTTGAAAAGGGGTCTCTTGCCAAAAATGTTTGAGCACCAGATATAAAAATGTTTTATTATCAATAAAATATTTATATTGTTCTTGTTTTTTATTTACTACATAGATGGTTTTAGTTGTTTCTTAATGGGTAATTAGGCAAGTAGGTAAAGCTATTTCTAAAATTAAAATATCTATGTAAAACAAAATGTTTGAAATAATAAGTTTATAAAAATATTAGAAGTAGAACCTAGAAGTAATAAGTCGGTGAGAAATAGGTAGTTAAAAAAATAATGGTGCCTGTTTTAAGTGCTATTTGTTATTATTTATAAGTATTGTATATTGAAAACAAACAATTTAAGCCGACGTTTGCGCCATCTATTGCACATATATGAAAGCATAATCTCATTGCGTAAAGAGTTAATAAATAAAGATTGAAGTAATAGATGGCGCAGTCAGGTAAAATAGGAAAATAGAAACTTTGAAATTTATTTATACAAAATTGAATTAATTTATACTTATTTTTTATCCTTTTTTTTAATTTAGTTTATACTTATTTTTTTTTATTTAGAGTCAAAACTGTGAACAAAAAATGAATAATTTAGGACTGGATGAGTGATGAAATTCCTTTGCATGCTACCCGTGGACAGTTTTTAAGAAAGATAAGTAAAAAAAAAAATGAGGCAGCAAGAAATGGCGTCGCAAGTTGTTTTTTAATCGAAATCAATGTATTTCTAATAATGCAATGAGACTGTAATAACTGTCAGTGCTACTTCGTGTAAAGTTAAACCGTGTCGTCGATATCTAATTGAAGAAAACAGTTTTATGTAAATTTCGGTGTTCACATTGAAACAATGGCGTCGGATCAGCCTTTACAATCCAATGTAAAAGTTAGTGAAAATCACGATTTCGCCGATGATTACAACGGCCTGAAAAGCGATGCAGACGCCGGTGAAGGCTCCAAACGTCGAAGAGTGACTCATGACTACAGAAAACTTTCGAAATTGGGATACGATCCAAGTGTGTCAACTAATATGAAACATTCACAATCTCATGATTCCAAAGGTATATTCTACGTATTATAATTATAGTAAACCATCAAGTAGTTTTACCTTTAGTAACCACGTAATTGACTGTAAAAAATTCTTTTATTGATTAATGTTTTTGGTGGGAAATCTGGTAACCTATCTTTTGTTAGTTACATCACTGAAATGGAGGTCATGTCTGTTTATAAACATATTCGCATCTGTGATATTTACATAGTTTTTTTAAGATATTCGTAAGGGATTCGATGTAACCTCATATAGCATAAGTACTACAATGTGGTTTGTGTCTAAATTGCATCACCAAAATGACCTTGTTCAGAGATGCATTGAACTTTCTAGTTGACCCACAATTTCCTAATATCCAATAAAGATATATTAATTATAACATTTTCAAAGGATATTTAATTAGTTATATATAATTTCTTGCTCATCATGGTCATGGGTTTGAGTCCTATTTCAAAGTGCCAGGGACAAAGTGTATTTTTTAATTCTTTTTTTATTAAGAATATTTTCCAGCATTGCATGTTTTACTTAATGAGAAGAACATAAAAGAATATTCAGTATGCTATAGAAATAAAGGTTAAATTTGTACAATATGCCCCACAATTGGTAAATTGAAAGTTGGTAAATTTTAGTAAAAATATGTCTAAAAAAGATATAATTGTGTAGTTTCAATTAACAGCTCATACTTCATAGTTTTATTTCTAATTACCCTTAGATCAGATTTGTTTTCTACTATTTTTTACATTTTACATTATTACACTATTTTTTACATAGTTAATACTTTTATGCACATTTCCTCCCTAAAAACTCATAATTGGTGTGGTGATATCATACAATTTCACTGAAATAAAAACATTCTGTTTTAAAGATCATCTTCAACATGATTCACTATTTGTAGATTTTATGTTTTTTGATACATCCCCAACAACAATTTATTGTCTTCCACTTTTTTATATAACAATTTTGCTATTTTTAGGATCTTTTTAATAGTAATTCTCCACTTTCACAATAATTCTCCAATTCACATTGCTATTCTAAGCAAATTTCATATTACAGATTTTAATATTACTGAATTTCATATATTTAAGAATGGCAATTTATCAGGTATTTTTGAAACACCATCTATAGTAATTTTCACTCCAAACACCTTGGGTCGCATTTCCCTGATATGTTTTATCATTTCCATTATAGGGAGTCTCATGAGAAACATTTAAATTCAGTGTTGCTATTGCACAAACTAAACCAGTACCTATAAATAATACTAAGACATGATAAAAAAATTAAATTTAAAATCCTGTAATTAAAGTAGCCCTTAATTTTTGAGAACTGTTAACCTCTGTCAGAAAACTGAAACTAAAAAAAAATATTGATAAGGTTCACATAGGTATTACTTTATGAATATACATAGTAAATTACAGCCAAACCTATCAACAGACTGTTCAAAGTTGCCCTATAAGTGAAGAATTACCCATATACCATACCTTTTCTGATCATATGCTGGTTTATAGAGTGACCTCTAGGACGCTGTGCATGAAAGGAAAAGGGAAAAAATATTAGATAATTTAAACATTTGTGTTACAATAAAATGGTCCTGATTTCCTTGAAGTGTCCATCTTTTTTGATCAAGTAATCTGTATGAGTTGACATTTGCCAAGCTAAGGATTACTATAAATTGCTAGCAGACCCCACTATCATCGACTGCCTATTAATCCCATTGCTGGGACACAAACCTTCCTTTTAAGCAATTTTTTTTTGTATGTATTGGGAGATCCCATAAGTTTACTTCTTTTTTCTTAGATACAGTATGACATGATAATTAGTAAATTAAGTTTGTGTACATTATTGCTGCCAATCTTTTCTTAGTTCCTTAAAGATAGTTTTTTATCTTGTTTTTTTCCTCTTTGGATAGCACAAAGCATGCATACAACAAATGCGTATTGATGACGCATTAAAAATGCAATGTTCACAGGTTTTTACTACATTATCCTATACCCCCTACTGGTTCTCTAAGTTTACACTTCGAAGTAATTAGGGAAAACGCTATAATCTCTCATACCTTACACCATAGTTGCAATACACTTTTTAACATGATTATACCACCAGAAATTGAGTTTGTGACACTTTTATAATAGGGATGATCACTAATTTTTGATTATCAAATAAAACTTATTATGATTCTCAAATATGCATTAAGAACATGTCCACTATAGTTTATACATAAAATGAAGGTTATGTTTATCGAATCATCATACAGCACCACATATATTGCTCAGATTCCAAGATGTCACAATGAATCCCATCTTAGAATGCCAGGGACAAAGTGGATTATTTAAGCATTTTTCATTAAGAATATTTTTAAATATAGCTTTGTGAATGCAATATTGATCAAATATAATAATTACCACAGATTTTCATATTTATTGATAGTTTATATATTTAAATATTTAGCATACAGGAACATAAGTATAATTTTGATTACATATGACTAAAGAATTATCTAAAAACAAACCCAAATTAAAATTAAGAGTAGTACACTAGAATTGACACTACATCTCCATGCTAGATCCCTAGCTGTAAACGCCGAGAAGAAACTTCATAATACACAGCTGAGATGTGGACACTACAGAATTCAAAATTTTCATATACATATTTGAGATATTCAAAGCCCAGACCTGTGTTCAAGTATGGTTCTGTAGCTGTTTATAGGGTAGAACTTTGACAATTTATAGCGGTCACATTGTTAAAGCTCTATTGGATCTGTTAAATTGGCTATATTTATTCAGTCTTTTTTGTCAAATCATCATCAGATATAGCTCTTAACCACACTTGCAATGTACAAAATTTTAATGTCAAAATGTGTTTTCATAATAAAAGAAAGGAATTTTAAAATTGTTTGTATGAAAACATATGAAATCTCCCCAACATAAGTCGAATTGTCGTAATTCTAATGTAGCCTGTTATTCATTTGTGAGATGTTAATCCATTATATTCGCCTCCTTCGACTCGAATTCATCGCCCATCAGTCCTATTCATACTACGATCAGACCGTCTCGTCATAGTTCTCCCACCGCGAGGACTATTCCTCGGTACAGGACTATCGTATTGTAGAGGAATTTGAGTCCACTGGTTATTTTATTTAGATTAACTCGTCATTCGTACGTCAAGGCACGTCTCCCCAAAAAAATCACCGTATTTCATAATTTTACTTAGGGGGATTTCTTCTGTCGGAGATCTGTTCTAATAAGCAACTACTAAACGGTCCTCAAACCAACAACTAAAGCTTCCTATTCCGCAATCCCGATTCCGTAATTCAAAGATCCCTCACTATTTTCCAGACCGCGTCTATGCCGTGTGAACAAAGAATATCTTATTAGCACGTTCCTATTATGACTTTGGTGTGATACTGTACAAAATTTAAATTGGTATAGCACAGAGCCAAACGAGGATACTCCAATGAAAGCAAATAAATGCGGCTTAATGTGAATCCCTTGCGGCGTACTTGCATGTCGCTCGCCTCCTTGACGTTATACTTGTTCCACACGTAAAACATTTTATTATTTATTGCAGGTAAGAAACGCAAACTTTCCGATAGCTTCAAAGAACTGTGTGTATGGGGCGACAACGCAAAACCAGCAAAACTATCCAAAATATGGCCGGTCTTCGATTCGGGTGGATTTGGCGATGCAGTAATGCTCACTGTACAGGTTCTAAACAATGCGCGAACGAGAGTCAACCCTCTATTGCACGGCACCCACGAATTTTCCTTCAACGATCTCATGACTACAGACTGGTTTGGGGGTATCAACTCGTCCTGGAGACAGTCTCAAATGGGGTGCAAATACTCAGATGATGATGTGACTAGAAAAATTTTCTCATCTGTGACTAAGCAGTTGAGAATCATCAACACACACTTCCAAAGGTCAATGTTTAAATACAAGTATCCGAGAGTTACTAGATCTAATGTTCTACTAGATAACTCTAGCGCATGGCGAGTGGGCAATCATTTTACAGTGACGTTAAAAGCTATCAGGTTCCAGTCTACGCCTAGAAGAGAGCTCCCGTGCTATGGCAACTTAGAGTTACCTTTCAAGATCAAACAGGAGTCGTTTGTGTCACCACAAATCTATGCGTCGATCGGGCGAAGTATCAAAACTGAAACTGACAAATTGCAAGAAGTCAAAGTGAAAGTGGAAAGTGACAAAGTGAAAATCGAAAGTGATAAAGTGAAAGTAGAAAGAGATAAGGAAAAGGAGAAGGAAAGAGACAGGTGAGCCTAATCGTCAATTTTGCTTTTAATCTTTTATATTCGTTGTGTTTATAGTTGTGACTTATTGATTTTCCACAGATGAATGATCCTCTTTATATTGTGACAGGTCGTCGCATTCGTCGCGACATTCATCATCGTCGTCGTCGTCGTCTTGCCACCACTGCCGCCGTCGGGCGCGCATCAAGCGCTGCTCCATCGGTGTGCAGTGTCGTAGAGACAGGCCCGGGTTGCCCAGCACCGATACTTGGGGACCGCTAGCCGATACCATCACTGTTAAGGAACTTAAATACCACAGGTGAGGATATTTAGTAGTGAGTAGCTCGGTGGCGTAGTGGATAAGTGCCGTGGCTCGCGGTCGTTGTTGCCGGGTCACGAAAATTCTCGAGCTACTCTGTGCTTCGGAAGCCAAGTGAAGCCGTTGGTCCTAGCTGGATTTGCAGTCGTTAATACCCTCTAATCCGCATTGGGCCAGCGTGGAAGGTCAGGGCCTATCCTCTTTAACCACCCATAAGGAAGGCATCAGGCCCTGCAGTGGGGACGTAAAAAGGCTGATAATGATGTTGAGGATATTTAGACCTTTAATTAACTATAGTTATTATGCAGAAATTACATTAGATTTCTTTTGGCTAGCATCCCCTGTCATTCAGAGCTTACAGTACTTGTAATCAAATGTGTATTATTTTGATATTGGATCAAAAGAAGATAAATGTGCTATCAGACTTACATCAACCAATAAATTGGTGATAATTTTTAATTAAATTTTCACAAATAGACATAAAATAAAATTTATAAATAAATAAAATTTTAATAATTGTAATACCTTTATGGCTTAATACATGTTCATTACATTCTAAGTGTGAATAATATTTATTCTAATTGCAAGCTATTGACAGCCAAAATGAATGAAACAGGGACAAAGCACTTTCATTGAGTATCACAATTATTCACCTGCAGGCTCATGAGGGTGGAGACCCATCCCAACGGCGGTGCTAGTGTAGTGTACCTGCACCAGCGTGATGTCGACATGCTCAATGTACAGCAGCAGGAGGCACTCGCCAAGGAGTTCCTCAAGGTATATGATTAACATAAACCTAACCTCTTCCTAAGAAATCAAGCATAATTCCAAAATATGAGAAAAAGTAAAACAATTTATCCTAAATTTATTTAAAATTGAGTCAAAATTATGAAGTGTACATTATTACTACTTTATGCAATTAAAATGGTGATGTGTGATAAATTATTCTATATTCACTCTAACCGAGGAACTACTCTGTTCTTGAACGAAAATTCGAATGTTTCTTATCATTTTGTTAAATTGATATCTTAAATTATTGAAAAACATTTTCTTGTACTCACAAGTATTAGCGATTCGAAATTTCGTTTTTGCAGAATCAGAGACCTTCACCAGGCTTACCCTCAATGCAATCTCAATGTCAATTTCAATCTAATCCAGTGACGATCTCAGCTTTCATCAAATCTTAGCTCATACTCTTGAAATATAGACTCAATACTTGATCAATGTCAATTAGTTCCTTCAATAACCACGCAATATTGAGCCGATTCGCTGTGTAGTCTTTTACACATAGCATGGGTACAGTAAAGTTTGTTAACAAATCCATTTCTCGCAATTTGTATTTCCAAATAATATAGTATACCAAATCAAGTGTTACAATTTCAATGTCGATCAATCGCGATTGTGTCCAAGAGTTAGCGTGTAGATCTTGGTTTTGTGTTACACCTAGATGTGATATTTATTTATTTTTTGATAGCTGGTATTCTCGGAGGACAGCGAGGGGTGGGCTCACTTCGTGTGCGGGGTAGTGCGGGGTGCGGCCGCCTCCCTCCCCTGTCTGCTACAGTACCTCGCCACCACACATGCTAATCTTACAGTGAAGGCCGGCGTTCTCGCCCGCGCCTCAGATATAGAGACCACCACCGTCAGCAAATACTACCAACAGGTAATGTATATGTTACGATCAAAGATCGAAATCGCTGAGCGAAAAAAGCCGCATTGTGGTAGACGCAAAACCAACCACTTAGCGATAACCGTGTTGTGGCTTACATGCTATTTGACCTCACGCGTTGTGGCAAAGAAAAACCATGAAGCGTATTGAACCATACTTGTGTAGGTTATAGTATGACAAACAATGCACTAGCTCAGCGAGAAAAAGTCTAGGTTGAATATTGACCTCAAAACTTGAATAAAATACATGCTTTTGAAACTTTGAATCTTTATTTTATGGTAAACTTAGTTGTATTCTTAATTTCTCAAGTCATCTACTATTTTTACTGTATTCAGAACTAGATCGGCATAAGTGCATACCGTGCACAAAGTTTGTATATTGCAATCTATTATAATTGTTATAAATTCTACGTTAAATTCTGGCTAATAAGTAACTCGTATATAAATGAAACTACAAAGTGATATCTTACATTTCATTACATATATTTCGAGAACTACTTTTTTTTTACAAATATTTCGTCATTGGAACTCGGGTGTTCTTTCTGAGTAGCTCGGTGGCATAGTGAATAAGCATCTCAGCCAGCGATCATTGTTGTTAAGCAACTTTCATAAGGGTCGGTTACGGGATGGGTGACCAAAAAATTATCTCGAACTCCGTGTTTCGCAAGACACGTTAAGCCGTTGGTCCGGGCTGCATTTGCAGTCGTTAATACTCATCAATCCGTATTGGGTCATGGCCATCCACCTAAACCATTCATAAGGAGGGCCTGAATCCCTGCAGTGGAGACGTAAAAGGGCTGATGATGATTCTTTTTTTAACTCGTCCTGATTTATGTGTTCAGGTGCAGCAGACGTACGCGGCGGGCACGTTCAGATGCGGACCGCTGCACCAGATCTCTCTGGTGGGCACCGTGCACGAGGAGGTGGGCGGGTACTTCCCGGACATGCTGAAACTGCTCGGCAACTGTCCCTTCCTCAACCTGGTATATACATCACACATCAACATCATTTCGTAAACTTTAGACCTAAATGTATTTATATTGAATGTAGGGAACTGTAGGTTTTTTGTTTGTTAATATCTTGTAATCATGTAATATTTATGTATAAGTTTGTTCCTTAAATAAATAAATAAAAAAAAATCATGATAAGCCTAGAAATTAGTGTCTGACTGAAAGTTCAGTTTCGATTTCGGTCAAGTTTCGGAAATAAAATTGGTTTCCTTTTAGTTTCGATTTCGATGGTATTAGGGTATTCTGCACTTTGTACATATAGAACAGAGAAAAAAGTATTTGAGATGCATTATATTTTGTTTGCCAGACAATGCCTTGGGGTCCAATGTCTGCTGTGGAGATGGAACCGCAGGAATCTAACGATGGCCCCATACTGTGGATCAGGCCCGGGGAACAATTAGTGCCCACTGCTGAGTTGGGCAAGAGCCCTATTAAGAAAAGAAGGTAATCACCTATCAATATATTAATCTGTCTTAAGGGATGGCTCCTAAGAACCAGTAGGTACCTCGAAGTAACTTGAATGCCAATCAAATGTAAGCAAGATTTAAGCAGTAAAATTTCTATCCCAATTAATATCTTAACCAATGATGATCGAATGTACGTTTAAACTATATTGAATCACACTTTATCACGGAGTTTATTTCTGAGTAACAGTCAAACAAAACTATGAATCATCTAACCAAGGATTAGGATTAGAATGAATAATTGTCACATAAGAGATAAGAGAGTTTTAACATATGTGTAAAATTTGTCTCCCAAAGAATTAAGGAAGTTATTATTATTTGTAAGGATAAGGATTTTTTAATCATTTCTCATTAAGAAAATTTCTCAAATATTTGCATTTATTGAAATTTGCATCTATGCATTGAATTGTATACAAACAAGTATTAAAATACCAAATAACACATAAAATGGTCCTTCGAGCTGGATACGCTCGAATGCGACTGATATTGATGTTTTTTTTTTCGAATACCTCTGTAGCTGAGTTTTTCCACCCAGGCTTTAAGATATCGCTATCACTGAGGCCCCGGCTTCGATTCCCGTTCAGGTCGATGTAGACTTTTTACTTCTATATTGTTTCGGGTGTGGGTTTTGGTACCTTCGGCACCTCAGATACTCCATAATTCGGGGACTTTAGCTACTCACCTTGGATTTTGAGTAATGTGTATGATGTTGTTCCAAATATTTATTAACCGTACTGTAACTTCACCGCACAGGACTGGCATCAACGAATTACGCAACCTCCAATACTTGCCGCGGTGGAGTGAGGCGCGCGAGTTCCTGTTCGAGGATCGAACCCGCGCCCACGCGGACCACGTCGGACACGGACTCGACCGCATCACCACCGCTGCCGTAGGTCAGTACAGTATTGTAGCAATGGAAAGTATTGATGTAAGCTTGTGGGTATACTTCTACGACCCGAATACAAATGCCTCACAATATATATATATATATATACTGTTTCCGATCGTCGAGGAGTAAAGACATCCGACGACATCACGCTGATCTCGTTATATTTTCGTATGAAAAGTAATAAAATGGAATAATTCCACATTGGTATACACGCCTGCAGTGTTATTTTAAAGATAGTCCTCCGATATGGACGATCTATTTGGGCTTCGTAATAGCCCCCTGAGACTACCCGCCGACATATATTAAATTGATTAAGGAACAAACATTTTCACAACAAATGTGTTCATTATAAAAAACAAGATCTACTTAATAATCTATAGTTCCATATTTCTTTACTTAAACACACAGTTAACAAAGTAAGCATTCCAACACGAGAAAAAGAATAAACCCTAATTTAAAGTTTTTACCTATATTACACACAATATAAATAATTAGATGGGACTGAAAATATTCAATTTATTGCTATATTTCACAATCAATAACAACTTAAGCAAACATCCTCCGTAGTCGATAGATCTGACTGTGTTCGGTGATGAATATACTTAATAAGTTTATGTAGTATTTATTAATATGTTGGGAGAAGTCCTTAGTATCATCATCAACTCGGTTCTCCCAACTGTTCATAAAGCGATCTTATATCACAGACAATCCTCGTATTTACGGCATGTACGGTTCTTGGATACGGGTGTTGACAGTAAACGAAATTAAATAGATGTATATTTTTAGTAGTTTTTAAAATACTATTATCGTTAATCGCACATTTATATTTATTATATTTACTTTAAGTAATAATAGATACAACACGCACTTGGCACAGTATTTAGTCACCAAGCACATCTAAGTAATAAACTTTTAATAATTTCTTTAAGTTGTTAGGATGTATAAGCTGTATTAAATCTGGGGGTTATTCGTGGTACGATGTAACTGGCCGTGCGCTCGCCATATATGATGTTAGCCTGTTCGATCATAAATCTGTTGTTTGCAATGGCGCGCTTGTACACAGAGTGCTTCCTTTTTTTCATAAGTTCCTCTCTAAAAAAGTTTTTGTGAAGAGCGTACTTTACCTGAGAAAAAAATTGGCAAAATTATTTTTGGTATGCTGTTAACTTATTACTTTAATATGCAAAATATTTGTGTGTAAAATTGATAAGTTGGACAAAATTTGCTTAGTAAAATATTACAAACACTCAAAAAATAGGATTACTTCCTTCAAAAATGTTCATAGCAAGTACTACCTGTATCTTACTAATAGTCCAGACACTTTATGTTACATCAGCGGAAAATTTCCTAATGAGCTGAGTTTTGATATTCATTTTCTAAATCATAGACATGTGTTTATTAAACATGAGATCAAAGTTTTAATATATCTACTTCAAAACATGAATAAAAGCAATACATATACCGTACGTACAATACCGTATGTAAATGCTTTCTACCCGCTTTCTCTACACTCAAATGGTTGATTGTCATGCTACAGACATTTTTATAGGTAATTAGATAAGAAACAATTCTTGCATTGATCTTATTAACTTCCGATTAATTAAGACGTAAGATATTTGTGAAAACCTGCTGTTAATGAATTTTGACCTTGAATATTTTTGTAGATGGCAAGATATCAATGTCGATTTTTTACATTATCATTCAAACACCAATAATAAAGGTGTACCATAATTCAGTTCACTAAAACTCCAAAAATTTGGTAGGTAGTAAAATTCTAGTTCAACTGGACTATAAATTTCCCCAATGAGAAAGAATTTCGTACATAGATCTAACAGTTACAAAATATCGTTATCATCATTATCATCGGCCCTTTTACGTCCCCACTGCAGGGGCTCAGCCCTTCCTTATGGATGGTTAAGGACGATGGGCAATGACCCTCCACGCTGGCCCAATGCGGATTGGAGGGTATTAACGACTGCACGGAGTAGCTCGAGATAATAATTTTTTGGTCACCCATCCCGTGACCTGGTCTGGGTGTTATAATACTTTCGTGGTTACAGATAAAAAAGTGCTTTAGTGTAATTTGGGAACTAGGCAATGTATATGACGTTATCTAATATTTATTCGTTGTTATGCGTGTTAGGTGTACTGAAAGCTATACACTGCGGCGACGAATCGGACCGCGGCCGCATCACCAAGGACGTGGTGGCATTCCACGCCGGAGACTTCAATAAGCTGGTACAGCTGCTACAGCTGGATCTGTACGAGCCGCCCATATCCCAATGTGTCACCTGGTATGTCACACATATCACTATCTATAATATTTATTGTTAGTTTGAGGATTGAGTCTAAGATTGAGTATAATATTAGTTTGAGGATTGAGTCTACGATTGAGTATAATATTAGTTTAAGGATTGAGTCTCAAATTGGTGTTTTTTTTTTACTAATTTTCTTTAACATACGTGATGATTTGTTCAGGTTGGAAGAGGCCAAGTTAAATCAGTTACGTCGGGAGGGAGTCCGGTATTCCCGGTTACCGTTATGCTCGGACGACATATATTTCCTGCCGAGGAATATCATACATCAGTTCCGGACAGTTTCAGCGGTGGCGTCTGTTGGTTAGTGTTATATTATGTATTATGGTTTTTACAAGAGAACTCGATGGCCTGCAAAATTAAGAAACATCGAGGGCCATTCATAGGATGGATGACCAAATATATATCATATCCTTATGCTTTGGACATGGACAGTCCCAGATGCATATGCATTCGTTAGTACCCATCAAATAAGGAAAATAGGTGCCTAAACTTTGAGTACATTAATTAGCTGAGTGCAATCATATATAAGAACATGCTAAACTCTACTGTGGTTATGTGTCCCAGCGAGAGTTAAAAATAAATATATCAAAAGTTTTTAATTTCAAGAATGATAAACTTTCAACACCTATTTAAATTTTTGAGACATTTACAGAACTATAATTAACAGATATAATCTGTTGCACTTTCACAGCCCATCTTGGCCGATTGTGTTAAGATTTGATTTATAGTCTATTTTTTCTTACTTGAGGTAACTAGTAAACAAAAAGCGTCTTTATGAAATTTGACATTTGATAGGGGTGGGAAACATTTAATTTTCCCACTTTTCTCATATAGTATGCATAAACTTGTAATAAAATCTTTCTTTTCTTGTAATATACCATTTGTGGCAACAAAAAAGTTGGATCTTTGGGTATCTCACGAGCTTACTGAAAGAAACCCAATGAACTGTGTACTCATTTGTATTTTTTTTATTACGGCATAATGAAATATGACCTTTTTCCAATATTCTTGTCTTACAAGAATGTGCGAAAAAGGTTGTGATCAAAGGTTGCTTCAAAGAAGGCTACATAGACTAGCGAAACCCGGGTTAACTTTCAACAAGGTGATGCTTTGTGTATGGTGGGATTTGGGGAAGGGCTTTGTTTATTATGAGCTGCTACCGTCAGACAGGACCACCGATTCTGAACTTTATTGCGGTTGCTTCAAAGGTGGCTACATAGACTAGCGAAACCCGGGTTAACTTGCAACAAGATGATGCTTTGTGTATGGTGGGATTTGGGGAAGGGCTTTGTTTATTATGAGCTGCTACCGTCAGACAGGACCACCGATTCTGAACTTTACTGCGAACAATTAATGAGATTAAAGCAAGAAGTTGAGAGAAAGCAGTTAGGATTAATCAATAGAATTGGTGTAGTTTTTCTCTAGCGTTAGACCTCACATATCTTTTACCACTCAGCAAAAATTTTGAGTTTGGCTGGGAGGGAGGTTAATGCATCCGCTGACCTTCAAATTTCCACCTTCTGCGGTTTCTTCAGAATTCTTTAGGCAGTGTCAGGTGAATATCACGCGACGGCTGCCAAAACCACTTGTCGCGGTTTTTTAATCAGAAGCTCTAATATTTCTATAGCAATGGGATCATGTTAGGGGCCTACAAGATGGCAAAAAGTTATCGAAACAAACTTTATTAAAAAATGACTTAAATTTTCGTACAAAATGCGAACAAACTTTTTCTCCAACCTATTATAGGTAGTTATAAGAGCTTAAACTGGGCGATTCTTTTGTTATCTCGTGATTTGTGATTGATAATTTGTTTACTACTTTTCTCAAGTTAAAAAAAATTGGATTATAGAGATATTTGTGAGGTGATAAAAATGTTGACTGTTAGACAGTACTAATGATAAAATTGTATTTTCAGCGTGGCATTTACGATTAAAACAATACTATCCGTCGTCGGAGGCTTCGTCTCCGGCGGAAGAGAGACCGCCGCCCGAGCCGATACCACCTCCGGGTATGTAAAGTTACTACAACTATACTACATTATATAAAAAATAATACACTTTGCTACAGCACCACTACATGAGTTGATAATACACTACACTACACTACAATTACATTAAATTAGATAACACTACACTATAAATAGCTTGTGTTTTGAAGATAAAAACTTAAATGATTACAAATAAACAATACTGTAACTACAATTAATCATATATGTATGATATTATTAATCATATTTAAATATATTTTAAAAGTTATATCATGCTACAACAACACTACATTCTATAATATAGTAGTAGACTACATTAGATAATACTACACATTAGATGTACTACATAGACAATACTACACTACATTAATCTGCTACATTATAAAGCAGAGTATTAATAAAAATAAATGTCAAACAAAACCTAAAAAAAAAAAATTATTATTATAATCGAACTGACTAGCTTAAATACTGAGAGTATAGATCTAGCTTATTATAAAATATCAAACTTCTGAAAGTGATTTTGGTCTCAATTTGATTTTAGACAAGATCTAAAGCAGTTTTATATTTTGCAGAATCTAAAAAACCAACATCTAAACACAAGGCCGGCGTCATAGAGATGAGAGCTTTGAGTGCTAAGTTCAAAGAGAAACCAGAACTCAAAGTTAACGAAAACAGAAAGAGCTTAGATGCACCTATCACATCAGAGAAGATGGACGAGAAGAGAGATAGAGATATGAAAAAGCCAGACATCAAAATTGAAAAGTCAGAAAAACTCGACAAGGAAGTAAAAACAGAGAAATCAGATAAAATTGAAAGAAGTGAAAACAAAACTGATAAACGTGAACACAAAATTGATAAAAGTGGACACAAAGTTGATAAAAATGAACACAAATCAGATAAAATTGAAACCAAATCGGATAAAATTGAGCCCAAATCAGATAAAATTGAACAAAAATCTATTAAAAACGACAAATGCGACAAGGACAAAAATCACAGGCACGCCTCCGATAAACACAGAACTGATCGTTCTGACAAACATGATCATTATAGGCGGCATTCCTCATCGAGATCGCACAAGTCTCATAAGTCTGATCGGCCTAGAGAACATAAAGAACACAGGAGTGATGACAGACATAAACACAGAGAAAAAGACCCCGTGAAAGATAAACATGAATATAAAACTGAAGGTGTCAAGTTACCAAACGATGTAGCTCAGAAACCACCGGATTAGTTTGGCAAAGTGTTGACTCAAAGACATTATCGAGTTTGAAGTGCGTGGTCAGTCTCGTTTTGCAAACACGATATTGGACTTTATATTATAGTGATGTAAGGTTTTAATTTCCACAGAAGACATATCCCCCTGATCTCCACTGGACGTCGCAGTAAGTGAATTTTTAATACCACATGTGTGTTTTTTAACAAGTTTTAAATTTCACATATTGACTAACCAAAAGGCAGTTAAGATAATAATATATATAATTTTCAGTTTTAATCATATATCAAATTGTTAAGCAATTTGTGAAATTTGATACATTTGATAATGCAATAAAAGAAATTTTTAACAGTGACTTAGATATCTAAACTAAATTTTTAAATAAAAAAAAAAAACGCTGAAATTAGTTTGTATAAAATTACAATTTTTTAATAACTTTTTGTGTAGCAAAATGGAGTCCAGATTCCCGCTTCATCCTTGAATAGGACATTAGGATAATTATCTCTCTTTGTAAATATTGATTAGTCTCTTAGAGGCTACGACGTGTCGGATGTGATTGAAAGGAGGCACAGTTTTAGGTACCAGTGACTGTTAATGTTTATAGAAAAAAAAGACAAAAAAATCTATAATATTCTAGAACTTCTGAAAATTTTATTTTGTTCTCCTACAGCAAAATCCATCAAAAATCAATGAAAATTTAAATTGGTCATAAGTTTGTAAATAATTTAATTTGTTTAGTCTAAAACTGTGCAGAATTTGTGATGTGTAAGAGTTTAAATGCGCCGAAAGAGAATATAATAAATAAAAATATAATTGAAGAAAAATTAAAATAATATTCACACATATTTCTAAAGAATTGCACTAAGATTTTAATAAAATATATTCTGTTAATGTAGCTAAGGGTAATTCTTTAACTTTGTGATTATTTCTATTTATTAAAAAAAAAAAAAATATTGATAGTTTGTTTCATGTTTACGACAAGATTATTTTGACACTGATTATTATTTTTAAGATTTTAATAATGTTATTTTTCATAAGAGAACTGGTTCTCGATTATGATTATTAAAAAACTAAATTTCTTCAATTTGTGTATTGTTGCTTAAACATGAAACATTTACATGAGAAAAGTCACCGAAGTCGTATTATTTATTTGTATGAATTCAACTTACTCAATGTTAGGAGAGAATGGTTTACATGTTATAAATAGCCATACTTGCGATTTCTGATTTATACTTAAATAATTAGTAGTAGTCAAATATGATTTTGTTGTGGATCTCACATAAAATTGTTAATAGGCATTTTATGAAACATCTAAAATATTTGGTTCTAAATTTAAGCAAAGATTGCATTGAATCTCTAAACTTTAGATTGCCACTTAAACCTAGTTTATGGAAGATTTGGTGCGAGAGATGTCAAGTTACCTTGTCCGTCTTACAATTCCCATATAGAAAACTAGTAATATGGACCAACCAAATCCAAACACAAAATAAATACTTTTTGTATCAAAATTATTCATTAGTCAATAAGAGGTATAAAAAGAAATTATACCCATTCTTATATAACTAAACCTGTCTTTTTTTCATAAAAATAATATATATAAATTTTCACGCACACTACTCATTAAGTAAAACTACTTTCAAGGGATATAAATAGATACAGATTAAAAACTACATCTGTAGAAATTACATTATCTTTGTTTATTATTATGTACAACTACATATGAAATATTCAATAACAATTATGTATTTATTAACAGACATGTTTTGTTTAAATATGCACTTTTGACAACAATGAAATAAACTATTAATCATTCACAGTATATAGGAATTTCATTTAAAGCTAAGAAATCTTAGTCCATGTCTTCTGTAATATTTGTCTTCTGATTTTATTAAAACGTTGGTAGAACAATCAAAACTAATGTAAAAGTCCACATTAAAAAGGTGTCCCTATTGTGTACCCCGGATAAATTTAATGAACAGTTTTTTTGTTTATGAACCACATACTGTAGGCCCTGGCCTAGCGCGGCTAATAATGGCATAAAATTAGCTACAATAACCTTGTGTGCCAAAAACTGAATGATGAAATACTGGGCAATGGTAAATGTATGCGTGTTAATTTATTTCAATAAAAGCTGTCAAAAAGTATATTCATATTTAGTGTTTAAACTATGTAGAGCTACAAAAATGGGGCGGGTATTACTATATGGATAACTACTGTATCACTTCTATCAATCATAATAATTAAAAACGATAAAAAGTTTGTGAAACGGTCGCCTAAACGAATCTTAAGGAATCGCGTCAAAAATCGTCACCAGTGAGTGACTTTACGTCAAAGTAAGGTTTTTTAAATAAATTTTTAGTTTATGCTATTTAAAAAAATCATGCTCTCCTGACGTAACTTAAAAAATAGTACTACTCTCTGATTTGAAGCGTATGAATTATTATAAAAGAAACAGTATTATTAATCATTCTAGCAGAAAAATAATTAGAGTGGCATCAAAATGAGGAATTTTAACTGGAAAATTGATTTGTGATTGCATCTATATCAATGACATTGTCTTTTGAGATGTTGATATATGAATTTAACTGATAAATTCTTTACAAATGCTGTTGCGTTTTTAATTAGTGAAAATAAATATCGCTGCTACATGCCTAACTACATGGCTTACGATCCTTGCAGTAGAAATAAAACATATCTTCCTTCAACTTGAACAAATAAAAAACTATATTTTAGTAATTTCTTTTGACAATCATTCTTGATATAGTTTTTTTTTATTGGAAGACTGTTGAGAAAGAAATAAGATTTTTTTGGTAAACGGTATAGTCGCGATCACAAATGCAATTACATTACAAACGAACGGTTACACTTACAACGTACCATTTATGAATCTAGTTACGTTTAAACATAAGAATTATTTATGTCGTTTTCCGAAGAATTTACATTTTGTAATTATTTTTATAATAATATAACATACCTATGTTACTGTAAAAGCGGTAAATACTAAGGAATTTGATAAGGTACAAGATCACACGATTTCATTACTTTTGTTTGTCAAAAGATGGCGCTGTTATTAGAATTGGGTTTCTATCAATAAAAATATGAGTATTTGTATATTGATAAAGCAACACAAACGGCGAAACACACCTCAGGGCATTCCCTCAAATTTGCCAAATATGTCACACATGTTAACATATTAAATCTCTAGTCGGCGGTATAAAGGTGTAAAGTCAATTTTTGGTCAAAATGACTTATGTCAATGAAACATGTAGAAAAAACTTAGCTTTCGAATGGTACAATTAGCATAATTCTACTACGTATATTAATAGAGATATTAACTACATATTTTGAAATTCTATCAATTTCCAGTCTTTATGTGGAAACTTTTTTCTCTCCTGAAAATTTGATGATTTTGACTTAACCTTTTACCTTTATACCGCCGACCAAAGAAATATGTAAAGCTCTGGCAGTGAAAAATGCTCTGTGCATCGCCACGTATATCTATCTATACAATTCATAGAAAGTGATTTGTCATTAACTGGAAATTATGATAGACAATATCTATGGTTATAATTATATTGGACCAATTATGCATTGACAATGCTATATTGTTGTAAAATGCCTAGAAAATTAACTAGTTCCAGATAGGAGATAGGATTCTATAGTCTAGGATCAAAACGAATAAATTAATATTAAAAAATAATTATCAAAATAATAATCAAATACTGACAGTGTTATAAAGAATGAAATCGAGGCGTGTATCATTACTACTTTTATGTATCCAACATGAGCCTTTTTGGGCAACCATTATGCAACACGCATGGTGCTAATGCGAGTAGCTCGGTGGCGCAGTGGCCGTGCGCCGCGGTCCGTGATCGTTGTTGTTAAGCAACTATCGCAAGTGTCGATCACGGGATGGGTGACCAAGATATTATTATTTCGAGCTAGTCCGTGCTTCGGAAGGCATGTTAAGCTGTTGGTCCCGGCTGCATCTGCAGTCTTTAATACCCTCCAATTCGCATTGAGACCTTGGTAAGACCGCAAGGGTCGACCCATCCTCCTTAACCATCCATCAGGAACATTAAGGTTATTAGGAACGTTAGGGTTATTATGGCGGTTCGATGTACTTCCAACGGTTTTAGTAGATCGTGTAGGTTATTGTCAGTGGCGGACTAACCTTGTCGGAAGCCCGGGGCGACAATAGGCCCTGATCGAAAGTCCGCCACTCCGCCACTGATTTATTGTTAATGTTTTTGATTGGCAAACTCAAAATATTTAAAGCCCGCAACTTTTTTATCTATCAGTTAAACGACCTCCGTGGCCGAGTGGTTCACACGCCGATTACAAATTGTCATTTCTATAGGTCCCCGATTCGATTCCCTGTCGGGTCAATTTAGAAAACCTTTTCTATAATTGTCTAGGGTCTGGGTGTTGTGATACTTTCGTTGTCTCAGAGCGCTCATAGGGGGCTTTAGTTACTTAGCTTATAATTTTAGCAGTTTTTGTGATGTTGTCTCATATTTCTTTTATTTTCAATTTAATAAAAATATTTATAACTATCAAACATATTTTTACTTACAAAAAAATTATAATTAACATGCGGCTTATGGCCTGGTCCCTTGGAAAATGTCTCTAGACGTACCACAAAGGATTTACCTAGGCTTTTACAGTAACATCTATATAATTTAAGCTTCTAAACGGTTGACGCCAGTGGTTACTTATGAAACATGTTTTTAACTTAATTTTTTTTATTTGTTAACATATAGATAATGATTTTTAAGAACACGACTGATCCGTTTGAGTTATAAAGTGTCAGATAAATGCAAATTAAATTTCACTACAGCTGGTTCCAATTAATATGGCGGATGAACTTTCGTACATGCAGAATAAACTTACTAATGCAGACTGACCGAAAGTAAGATAAAAATTTTCGGAATTAATTGATTTACTCTAGGTAAAATGTATGCGCCATGTTTTTTGGAAGTTAGTTATTTATTGAAAGCGAATATTAATGTTTGGTAGTACATAATTATTGATTATTTAAAATTATATAGAACTATTGTTTTGTTCTTTAAATAAGTAAGGATGTATGAGTAATAAAATTATAATTTCTTAAATGAGGACAGATGAAAATATTTTGTGATGGCAGTTTTTTTTTAATAAACAGTTTTTTTTTAAGAAATAAAGATTAAAGTCATTGAAAGAGAAACACAAAATATTTTTATTGAAATAAGAATATTTGAACATGATTTTTTGCAACGTTGTTATAGAAACCGCTTCGAACTCGACGAAGAGAGCGTAGTGCTGTCAAAGTGTAGAGATTCAGTGAAATATGTTTTTACCCACTGGGATCCAGCAAGGAGCCAGACGGTCATTGAAATAAAACCCACTTGAAAAGGTAATAAAGATGTATGCTGTGATAGCGCTGTGCTAGACGTCGAGTATAAAACTTTTTTTTTAAAGAAAGCGTACCTTCCTACCTGACACATTAATAAAAATAACACGATGTAATAGATAGATCTAGTGAATATTAATCAGAAATTTTCATTTTTTTAAGATAAATTAAACTGTTCTGATGCTAGTGTGGGGTCTAATACCCAATGTCTCAAGTCCTCTGGACGCCAATGTGATTGATATATGTCGTATTTATGTTTAGGCGGTTAATTTATTGTTTCAAGTTTCCTATTTTTTTTTTTTTTTGAAAATAATAATTAGATTATATATTAGACGATTGCGGTTTTATTTATGTCCTTTTGCCATATTTTTCTATGTATCTATGGTTAATTTATATACTTTTTTATATGGTCATAATAATTTGTATATAGTTTTTGAGTATGTGCTATAACTTGAGCAAGCTTTTAAATGTCATCAAGTTAAACAAAAAACGGACCAGTGAAGCGGCCTTCCAATGTGACTTTCTTAACTTTGATTTAACGGATAGACCTTAGAAAGACCAAGAATGAAAGTCATTGGTTCAGGAAACTATGCAAGACCATGCATCCTTTATGGGAAGAATGAATAAAACTTCGTGATTTATTTATTTTATTTCTGTTTCTTATAGCGTACACAAATTTGTACGTGAAAAACATTAAAAAGCTTTTAAGTACAAACAATAAATACAGAGAGACAGTACTCAGTCACATAGTAAAACTTTTAACACTACAGTTACAAACGAACTTTTTGCCACTGTCATATCGCAAAACACCAACTATTGAATAAAATAGCTTCCATAATATTTGTTAGCACATGAGATTCGATATCAGTTATGAGTTTATTTATTCGTCATTTCCAAAAAAAAACATTTTAACCCAATTAGAGGATAAATAATAATATTAAAAACAAATCGACATTATTATCATCCATCTTAATTCTTCAATGTTGAAATTTTTACCTATTTCGGTAAATTATTGTGTTATCAAAAAGTTTTTTAGGAATATTTTATGCGCTTCCCCTGAAAGTATTTAAAACTGAGTTACTATGTTTTTTCTCACATAGAAATTCGATAATTTGTATTTGCAAATTGCAAATAATAGATGAGTAATTTATTTTATGAGTGATAAGTTCAATAGTAAGAATGTTGCGTTATGACTAGTGTATAACATTTGAATAAGTTAAATGACATGGCGATGGCACAAAATTATAAATAAGATCATCTGGATGCAAAAATGATTTAACTCGCGAGTTTGCAAAAAATAACAATTATCATGATTTATATTCTCATGACAAAAATATCAATTTATATTTTTATATTTAACAACTGTTTATTTTTTTATTTTATTTTAGTAACTACACGAGTTAAAACATTTTTGGTATTTACGTCCTGACAATAATAAATAGACGTTTATAAATTATAATGTATGAAATATCCAACTAAATTAATTATTAAGATCCCAAAAGCATTCGCTAAGAAGATTCAAATATCAATAAAAATTCTGTTAAATATTACATTTTCTCTTAGAAATCTTAATATAAAACAAATAATCGACAAATATGTTTATAATTATTATCTCCTTATTATGAATAACTGATAAATGATGAATTTTAATATTTTGTAATATCTAAATCTATACAAAATAAAACGAAGACCACAAAAACAGGTAAGAAAGATGCAAAAACGAATTTGATTCTTGTATATAAATCTTAAAAAAAAAATTAATGTCGAGTTTATAACTTTATTACAGAAATAGTTATAATTGCACATATTTAAGGCACTCATTTATGGTGATCGCATATCTATCAGAGCTGAAAGAAGCGGATGAAAAGTATTTTCTTTACACCTTACAAATTAATGATAAGTGACATACGATGAATGTTTGTGTATACAAAAACTTAAAAACGGCTTTATTTCGCATCCCTCGGCTTGTTCTATTCTGATATAATGTACGATCACCTTTATTTTTAAAATGCAATCTCTATCAGTCCTATACAGAATAAATATATATTTTTTTTTTATCTAAATATAAATTTCAAACTAAAAGGGTTACAACCATCAACTATAAGTATAATAATATTGGCAAGTTTTAAATGACTTAACGTCTTAAAAAAAGGGTTAAAAGAGCTTTGGCAACTTTTTTGAAGTCATTCGGCAATCACTGAAAAGAACAAAAAATCAAGATTAGCCATAGATATACTAATAAATCTATGAGTTTAGCATGTTTTGCACTATCGTTTCATATAATTTACCTGCATTTCTCTTTTTGCAACTAGCCTGATACAAATACCAACTTTCAGTATGGAGATCAAACATTAAAACATAATAGCTGCTTTCTTTTATTATGAGGGTATCATATATTTCCTTTTTAAAATATGAATTAATCCATCGACATTTTTCTTTCGGATTATTAGTAAAAAAAATAAAATCCTTTAATTTCTCAATGGCATGATAAGCAAAATACATATAAAGTGACTTCTACGTATTTTCACGCTGTTACTTATGTTACTTCCATGAAATATATAAATTTTCCTATTATATTTGGAAACTCATATTTTTTAAAAACACGGACAATAAATATTTAAAAAATATTTGTAAAAAATCAATAATATTAACAATGAAATACGACTTCAATCGATATTACTGTATTGCGTTAAGTTTATTTTGTTTTGAATCCAATGAAAATTTCCATGGGAATATCGCATACCCTTATAATAAATAGCCTCATAATTATTTATGAAGCAAAAATATAAAACGAAAAATATGCAGTAGACTTTTGAGTTAAACACATATTCTACGAAATATCATTAAAATCCACTTAGAAATACTTTAAATAAAAGTTTTATCATATTAAACTACTACTATAAAAAAGTTGACTTTGCAGGAAACGAATGGACCAAAGATAGTTATTTCCATTCCTTTTAACTAACGTATTAAAAAACTGAAATTTACAAAGTTCGAAACTTAGATATCGATACAAATACGAAAAAAAGCACAAATAGTATATGAGTTGTTTATTGAGTTTTGATAATTAATTTACTTTTATATATGAAAGAAAACCGTAAGGGTTGTCATGGATAAATCGAGAAGGTATCGTATCTAGTTTGATTTCAGGAACTAAAGGTTTTTTAAATACTTCCTCATTTGCAGCCTAAAATTTAAAAAAAAGATGAATGCCGTCAAATTTTATCTAATATTGATAAACAATAAAGTGGGATATTTTCATCTTGTTTAAACCGAAACATTCATAAAAAACTAAACTGTGTAAATTATCTGGACATCAATGAAATTAGTTGCGAAAATAGCGAGTGTTTGAGAAATTCGACAATATCGCTAAGTCACGGGTGCTTAATGGTTAGAGCAGTTAGCCGGATTAAGAAAGGGCTATTGGTTCCAATCTCAATTAATGGCATCTGAAAAAATTAAATATCATTCAATAGGAATAAATACTCACCACAAATCTATTAACTTTGGTTGCAAACGTTTTTGTGACGGTCGTCTGCTGGACTTTCATATTTTCGAACTTCTCCCGTAGACTGAAAATTAAAATGTTATGTCAATCTATAATCATTTACCGGAGGTTCCGAAAGTGGCTGCTGACAACTACTTATTAAAAAGTTCCCGGCCACAATGGGCAAATCAAACTTCTTTCGTCAAGTGTCAATCTATATATTCTTATAAAGAGAAAAGATTTGATTATTTATTTGTCTGCATCAAAAAGGCTCCGATACTACTGCACCGATTTTAAAATTTTTTTCACCTACTGATAGCTACATCGTATGCGGTGAACATCGGCTAATATTTTATCCCGTAAAACAAAAAAAGGGATGAAAATAGGAGTGGAAGTTAGTATGGAGAATTAAAACGTTGCCATAGCCCATTGTTTACTATTCAATTTGTAAGTGTAATGTACGTGTCATGATATGAATCAATATCCAAATAAACAGTGCCCTAGGGACCACGGGGGCGGAGCTGCTGGCGGAAAGCTAGTAGGTATATAAAATCCAAAAAAGGTCAACAAACGACAGAAAAAACGGTAATCGAAAGTATTATTATTTTTTCTGGTAGTACATATTTAATGTACTATTACCGATAATCTCACTTTAATGCGTTTTATATTAAATTGCCGCAAATAACCGCAAATAGCACGTGATCTCACGCCCTTGCTCATATCGGAACTTAGAGAATTTAATATTATTCTTAGTTCTTCGAACTTAGAGAATTTAGTTTCGGAGGGCCTTGATGTTATAGCGACGCCATGACAGAAGTGGCGTTTTCCCGGGAAATTTTGAAAATTAATTATTTTTAACTTTTCATTTATATTATGAACAGAGGTCGGAATTAGGTAGAGTTATTTATGTACTTGCATCGAAATGTTGATATTAATGTGGACCTTCCCGGGATTTCTTTATTTCTTCTTTCTTTATTTCTTTCTTTCATTGATGTAAGTTTGGCAACGTCGTGCGTGCAGTAGTTTAAATTGTGTAAAAGTAAATAACGTTTTATTTAAAAAATCACGGGATTTTTTCTGCTCTTTAAAATTAATATTGGGATTTGAGGCATATCCACTTTATTCTTTCACTGTATGAAATCAGTGTTAGTACATGAATAACTCTACCTAATTCCGACCACTGATTATGAGAGCCTGCTACAAAGTGGGGGAAAGCGACCACTGATTATGAATGATTTTTTTTTAATTTTTCGATGTATTTCATGTAAATCTATAAAAAAAATGTGTATCTGTTCGGCGCCCATGTTATAGTAGATATATTATTACCTCTTGGCGGTGTCCAGTTGTGATTCACCGTCGTCGTCCCTCATAATCTGCACGTTGTTATTATTGTTGTTGGGACGAGTGTTCTCACTCTCGGACCAGTGTTCGAATCTATCGCGGAAACTTGTAGTGCGGGCCAACTGCTGAGCCTAACGTACAAAACGATTATGTATAATAAATGATAAAAAAAAGCTTCAAAGTGAAGATCACTATTAAGTTAGCCTGATTTGAAGATATGAGCACTTTAGTCAGGCAGGTAGAAACTTCGTTTGACGCCCTTCTTACCCCCCCACGTTCCGTGAAGTTAGATTTTATATTAACATATTTTTTGTTTTTAAAAATATAAAATGTGTGCAGTACATAAGAATATAAATGAAATCATAAAAAAGTTTTTTTTTAAATGTGTAATGATGATTTTGGTGCCCCAACCCCCCCCCCCCCCCGACACTTGCCGCCTAAATCCGGATCTGACTGGTATGTATATCTGAATAAAACTAACGACATATAAATTGTTTTCCATAGTATTTTAATTTTAAAATCTTCAAATCAAGAATTGAAAGATATTTACGCAATTCACGCTAAAACTATTTGACGTGTGGCAGTTATTGCGACCGCGACGTTTTTTATTTAAATATATTCAGTGGTCGTTCATTGATTTGATGTTAATAGGCATTGTTTAATGCAAGCCTTAGACGTAAATATCTTAGTTATTGAGAAATGTTAGACGAAAGAGTTGAATGCTAACTGCAATCTTTTGACGGATTTAATTAAGTTTTATTGTTTCTTGATTATTCAAATGGTTATCCGTTCCAAGAGCGATTGCGATTTTAAGCGTTACACAAATCCCTATATCGATATCACAACTGCTATACCTCTGAAGGGGATTGAAAAATAAATAAACAAATTTGGCCTCCCAGCCTTTTCTCACAGTGAAAAAGGCTTCTTCAACTGCGCTATCCGTTGCGTCATAAAACTCCTCAACAGTTTTTAAATCATTTGAACACACTATTTATCTTTATTATATTTGTTCAATTTTACTTTCATAATGATATACTGAAAAATATTTTAATGAAAAAAACTTAAAATATCACTTTGTCCCTGGTACTCCCATCCCATCCCATCTCAGAGTATTTCTATTTACCTGTTTGAGTGCTTCGTCTCCCTGCCTGGCCATATAAAGTCTGCGTCTTTCATCCTCACTGTCTTCTTCATACTCGGAGCTATATTCTTCCTCGTCCTCTTCCTCCGTAGTGTTGCCAGTGTGATTGTTTTCCCCGGGAGGAGGCGGCGTGAAACACTTCAAAGGCTTCGGACCTGGTCAAATAAACAATAGCTTATTAATATTAAAAACAGTAGGAGTACTTGAAAATATTGAGTAAAAGCATTAATAGTATAGTAAACGACACCTCTGGTTATACAAATCTGTCAATTTCTCCATTAGCCTTATATCTCAATATTTTTTTAAGTATAGTTTAAAATCAACTGGAGAAATTTGATATATATATTGTGGTAATCTGAGGTACAAAGAAGGAAGTCGTATGTATGAATTAATGAATAATTCCTTATTGTATATAAACATCAATAATAGAATAACTATAACACAAAGAACGGATAGTAGAATCGGCGGCGTTGTCACTAAGAAACAATTTCTTCCAGGCAACCCTTACAGTCTGGCCAAATTAAATTAAAATTTAAAATTATGCTTGGATAAATAAAATATTCATTGCAGTCAAAGGACCGTTCTATGGTACATTTGTAATCTTAGAACAGGAAGTTCGTTACTTAATCACTGAAATATTATTGAACAGATTTTGATATACTGATAATTCCATATAAGCTCTTTTTTATCCCAAATAACAGTTCCCTTTGGGGCTTGATTATGCAGAGGCATGTTACTCCGACCTAAGTGTCGTTTTCCCAAATATGTATTCGTTTTATTTTCGGTCTACTCAAATACGATCATATTTTTCTTTTTTTAAAATATCACATACATTGCTCAGATTCCAAGATGAGTAGCTAAAGCCCCCGTATTATGGAATATCTGAGACAACGAAGGTACCACAACACCCAGACCCGAGACAATATAGAAAAGTATATTTTCTACATTGACCCGACCGAGAATCGAACCCCTCAGAGATGGCGACACCTTGAAACCGGCGTGCGAACCACTCGGCTACGGAGGTCGTCGGTATATCTATAACTACCGTTCTCAACTTCATTGGCTACCTATTTCTTGTAGAACAGACTGCCACTTCTTTATTCCATTCTCTTTCACCCACATACTCCTCTTTATCTTAAAGAGTGCTTTATCTTTTCTTAAACTAATTCTATCCGAGATCTACGGTCTTCCCACAACCTTTCCTTAGTTATCGTTTCGGAGTGCCGTGACGACATAATGAAGTGAAATTTTAAAAATTAAATTGATTTTTAGATTTTAACTTATTTTTTTTTAGGTATATATTTTATGGATATCTATAAAATAAAATAGTTGCCTAAACCCTTATTCGCACTGCAACGATGTCAATGTATTTTTTTTTCTTAATAATAACCTTGCGGATCCGGTCTGGTCTGTTTCTGTTCCATCTGCCTGAAAACGTCTATCATCCGCGAGGCTGTATGTCTGTCCGCTGCTAGTCTGGTATCAGTAGTCTGTTCCTCACTCCTCACCACGCTCGGCTCGTGGTATACCTCAGGGGATGGAGACTTTGCCCTCTGTACATAACAATACTCAATTGAAACAGACACTAGTTTCCATGTACACACATCCATACCGTTTAATAAGGATGACGACTAGGTAAAAAAAAAAGAAAATTATTTAGTCCGTTAGATATTTTGCTTCGAATTAACAATAAATGGATCAGATAATAGGCATAGAAGGATTGGAGGCTCGCTACGACGCAAGTATGTAGAAATTGAATGAATGAATTTATTGATTATAGAAAAAAATACGTTTTTTGTTCTATTTAATAACCTATCTGATGGACACAGTCAAAAATTAGTCATTATCCCTTTCTGATTGATATGTGATGTTGTCAGCATAACAGATCTATCAGGTCTGAACAGAACGGGTGTTAATTATTGCAGATACAACCGGGACCAGCGGCGTAATGTGCTTCCAAAAAATGTAGGAGCTGGAGATAAAATATTTTTGATCACCCATCCTAAGTCAGACCGTTGCAAAAATTTGCTTAACATCCGCACTTTATTTTATAAGGAGCTCGATAACGTAATTGCGGCGGTGTGAAACTCCTAATGAAAGAGGAAGTATAGATATTGAATTTATTTAAAAAGTGGGTTCAATCCTGGGTGAATGTTATTAAATGTAATCATTGAGCATCATTGAATTTTGCCCATCTCTGGTGTGAATGCATAAAAATAGAACTATGTGAACCCACCTGCGTTTGTCTAGGCGGTGTCATACGAAACTCGCGTCGTTTCACTTCAGGCTTGTACGTCTCGAAGAACTTGAACCGATCTGATATATCTGCAGTTTGTACGCTGACCTCCTCAACTTTATCACCAGCCCGTACCAAATCTTTCGGCACGAAAGGCTGGAAAAGAAATGAAATCATTATATTCAGGCCTTCAATATGGATGGAATCAACTCAAATAGATTAGGGAGAATGGACCATGACCCACCACCCGGGCCCAGTGCGGATTGGTGGGTGTTAACGACTGCAGAAGCAATTTTTTTTATGGGATAGAGGGCAGACGAGCAGACGGATCACCTGATGGTAAGTGATCACCGTCGCCCATGGACACCTGCAACACCAGAGGGGCTACAAGCGCGCTGCCGGCCTTTGAGGGACGAATATGATCGTAGGGAGGGAAGGGTTGAGGGGTAGAGGGAAGGGAATAGGGAGGGGTTGGGCCTCCGGTACCCTCACTCACACGACGAAACACAACGCAAGCGTTGCTTCACGTCGGTTTTCTGTGAGGCCGTGGTATCACTCCGGTCGAGCCGGCCCATTCATGCCGAAGCGTGGCTCTCCCACGGTAAAAATACAATGGCTAAACGTGCCTTCCGAAGCACGGAAAAGCTCGAGATCTATTTTATTTGCTTGAACCTGTAATACTGCGACAACGCTCTATTTAAGACTTCGATAATTTTTTCTTATTTACATTTCTAATTAGATCCAAAGCAACCCTATTTTTTGGTCACAAGTTGTGTTAACACAAGTCTGTTCAACAAAGGGAAATAAATAAATCTGGAATCGACAATTTATTTTGGACGTGTATACGGACATAGCCAATTCAATAGACAATTCACACACAGCCACATCATATCGTTCTACCGTATTAAGACATTTAAGAATCGGCCGACCGTTTCCACTCTCTTTAATAATGATTACGTAACACAAAAAATGAAACGTATTTTCCTTTTTAAATAATATTATTCAAATATACAAATTTTAAAATATACATTTATATTTAACGCACACCACATGTCATGTTTTTCGTAAATGTAGCACTTACTATTTCCTTCCTCTTTGGCGGTTCCTGTGGCGGGGGAGTAGTGGGAGCAATATTCTTCGCATTGGCATCCAGCTCAAGGAATATGGACCGGGACTTCTTGCCGATACCTGAACAAAATAGGTAATAGTAAGTATATTTTTGTCTAATAAAAATTGATTCAGGGCGATATTAAAATATATTTGATTCAGAGCGATATTAAAACACTAACAGAATAACTCTATGATTTAAAAAAAAATGTCTGTTTGTATGTACGCGCTAATCTCTGAAACTACTTAACGTATTTTAATATAGCTTTTTTTTTTAATTTCAAGCTATTCATCCTGGGAACCGTATAGGCCATAATTCATTTTGTTGGCTGGTCTCCATCAAACAAATATTGACGAAACAGTAAGAGATACAAAAATGGCGCCATAGAAACAATTTTTCTATCTGATAAGCATATTTTTCTGCGTGATTTAATTTTGAAGATTTCATACATCTGATGTGGAACTCTAAGAGTCAGCTGCACTAAAATATATACGGAAACTATATCTTAACAGAAATTGTTCAAGGTAATGAGCTTTACACATGTATATTCGACGCTGGAAAGCAAACACGTAGTAACCTGTAAAACTAAAATGGATATTTAGAGTGGAAAATCTTTATATTTTTCAAATAAGAAATTTTATTTCCGTATAAATTGAGTAACGAACACCTTATTTGTTACCTGGACGTTTATAGGAATTATTTATCGAAAAAAATAAAAGTGTTTCTGCTCTGAAGAACACTTTTGGTTTTGCGGGTTATTACGTGTTTGCTTTCCAATTATGTTTTAGATCTAAGGATTGAGTATTATCCAATTTGAAATACAGATGGAAAGAAAGACACAAATGTATCATTTAGTTAAGAATTAATGCCATCTAGTATAGGAAAGCCTAAAGGTTTTTCTTACTACATTTTATTTCAGATGAAATCAAATTATTTATTGGCCATAAACTTAGAAAGTTCAACTCTGTAAGTCTTTTACAATATAAATTAAATACTAAGGCCCAAATCATGCAAGTCAAATCATAATGGGAATTTCAAAGAGATTAAATATTTTAACAATGTCAAGTAGATTATTTTAACAATTCACATTAATCAATTATATCACGGAGTCATTTAAAAAACAATATTACAAATTAAATAATAAAAAATAAAAAATTTTAAAACTCAACCACGACTAAACGCCATCTAGTATAGCACATAATACTTATATAGTTTGTGTTTTCTTTCGTACATATATAAATATGTAATTGAATATTAAAAAAAATATATTAAAAATATTATTTTTATTACCAATAACGTACTCAAATACCATTCTTTATCACAATCTTTATAAATAATATTAGATAGATTTGTTACAATGACAAACCAAACTGTAAACAATGGTTGCAATAGTAACATTATGATTCCCCATAAAACTTTCCCTCGAATTTTCATCCTAAAGGGATTGCTAGTTTTCGGGATAAAATATAATCTATTAGGTAATATATTCCCTAGGAGGTCCCTAGGGTCTTAATCTACCCAAACACCAAATTTCATCGATATTGATCTTATATAAAGAAGTTTCATACAAACGTTTTCACCTTTTTTGACACCTTTACGTAATAAGACGAATGAACCCTCGAAATTTCATGTCTCTACGTCCAGTGGTTTAGGCTGTATATGGTCTGTCAGTCAGTATGTTTCTTTATAAATATGATCTATTAACAATACTCAATCAAGGAAATAATTTGTGCACTGTTTCAAAACTTCTATAGAATAGACACGATACGGAAAATTAAATATTTTAATAATTACCTTCGTTGAATAGTGAACGATCTTCTATCTCCCTGTTCTTGGGTGGCTGGTTCTCATCGTTGAATATTTCACCGTTCTCGAAGCGTTCTTTGATCGCTCGAGACTTCTCAGCATCCAGTTCGAGCTCGCGAGCTATCTTGTCTGCTGACGTTACACCTGTAACACCCAAAGACATTAGAGGCTCCATAAAATATAATTTACAGAAAATAATAAATCTTTGCATCTGCAGTCGTTAACACCCACCATCCGCAATGGGCCCGTGCGGCGGGTCATGGCCCATTCTTTCAATTCCATTTAAACCATAGAGGAGAGGTGTGGTCCAGAAGTGGAGACATTTAAAGGTATAGAAGATTACTGTTTTCACTATTTTAATATACATACTAAAATTTTAGTAATAACTTACTTTGCTCACTTTGCAACACAGATTGTTCGTACATTTCCTTAATCTTGGCTTGTTTGCCCTGAAACAATAAAAAAACATATTGTGAAAAAATATTGATATGTATGTATGTACAACCACATTTTAGGAAGGTTATGTTGAAAATGATGGCTACAATGAATGAAAATAAATATATAGGTGTTGGTTATAAAAACAATATTTTAGGCAATCTTTATTGAACAACTAAGAAACTTAAAATTATACATTAAGGTTGTTAGAAGTCTCTAAACCAAGACATCCTAGTTACCGTATCCATATTAACATCAACGTTTGACGTCATCGATAATAACTCTAAAACGGTCTTACCATAAACAATCGGCTGCGTATGTTCTGGATCTCTTGCTTTCTCTCTCTATGCCGTTGAGAGTTCTCGTGCTGTCCCGTTTCAAACTTGCCGACTATCTCGCTCATGTTGCAGAACGACATCGGTTGCTCGCGATTATTCGTGTGTTTATAAGAATTCTTCAAAACAGAGTCTTCATCTCCTACAGATATATGATTATATATTATATAGTTATAATAAATTCTTATCTTAGACGAGTTGATAAAAATTCACTGTAAAAATTGACATATTGATGAGCTAATAATCAGTGCCGGATTAAGCCAGAGCGGGGCCTGTAGCAAATTCTATGATCAGCTTACTTTGCCACCGCCCTTGGTTTGCTTGGGATAAATTGAAATAAAACGAAATTCTTACAAACACACTTTTCTTGATATGTAAAATTTCATTGTAAAAGTAACCAAAAATACAACTGTTAAGACTCAATTCAACTTACAATGTGAGTATCAACACGCGCCTTCTTGTTTAACACCAAAATAATCACCTAATATATATTTCGTTATGACGATGACGAATAATCAGTAACTTTGCAAACGAAAGGGAACAGTCACCATTTGCTTTCCGAATAAGACAATAAAACTAATCTGTGACTTGAGTTTCCCTTGTTACTTTATGTTTATATTTAAAAATATTTTTAAACACTGACTTTAAAAAAATAATTCATCAAGAGGTTCCCGATTGCGCGGGCCTCTAAAACAAAAGAGTGAGCAACGTGGCTAATCCGCTAATAATAGTCATTGAAATTCTTGTTTATTTGGTAAAAGTACCTGCTTAAATTATGACATATTCACAAGTAATTACTTCTCTCGACTCTAGATACGAGTTTAAGTCTTTGTCTACATTTTATCTTAATCAGATGAGATAGTGCATTTTTGTCAGTATTTTATGATTATATTCTTATTGAATTTACCAATAAACCAACCTTCTTCGTCTTCATGTTCACTAGAGCTCGCTTCCACTGGCACTCCGTTTAAATATTCGTCGGAAACGCCAACGTCCATGCCTTTTGCTTTGAACCTGTCGAAGGAAACGACCAGTAAAAGCATTAATAAATTATCAAAGTTATTATGCTAAAATAAATGTCACTAGATGGCGGTACTGAATTAGTTCTGTCAATTCTTGACACGAAACTGTGAGCATATATATACAGTACCGGTCAAAAGTTTTCGATCACATAAAAAAAATGTAATATGTCCAAAATTCAATGAAAATCGTAACACAATTTTTGCTTTATTTATTAATACTAAACGCATCAAAAGCGAAGAAGTGCAATACCTACGCTTCCTTTGTAGTTTGCCGCCTCAGTTGAGCAAGGAATCGCCAAGCGCGTTAGTGTCTGTTTAAAACGTAACCGTCGCAATTTTGTTCGATTCGAGTGTCTCTATAAATGAAAACTTACAAATTACGTTTTTGAATATTTTGGTGCTTATACAGATAAGAAATTTTAACACGTTTACACTCGCGATTTAGTACTATACGTTGATTTAACATAGTAAACATTATTATTTTACATAATGTTTTTTTTTTAATTTTACATTAGATAAATAATATTAAGCTCACTTGTCTTAAATAAACTTTATAATAATGGGTCGAAAAAAGGAATTAAGTAGACAAAAACGTGCTGTTATCATAGCATTATACAAAGAAGGCTATAGTACGAGAAAAATAGCCTCTAAATTGAAGGTAGCTCAGTCTACGGTAGTGTATACGCTGAAGAGAGAGCGAGAGACCGGATTCTGCATCAGCCGCCAACGATCTGGGAGACCTAGAGTCACATCTAATAGTGAAGACAAATTCATCTGTGTACAAAGTAAGCGGCAGCGAACACACACGGCGCCAGAGATATGCGATGAACTGAATGCTAGTCGACAAAAACCCGTATCAGTTTCAACGGTGCAACGCCGATTGCGTGAACAAGGGCTTAAAGGACATATAGCAGCGAAAAAGCCACTTTTGCGTAAACAAAATAAACTCAAGAGGCTACAATGGGCTAAAAATCACAAAGATTGGACATTTGATAAGCGGTTGAAAGTTTTATTTACAGATGAATCAAAATTCGAATTATTCCGCTCAAAACGTACACAATACGTTCGGCGTTTCATTGGGGAGCGCATGGAAAATCAGTGCATTATACCAACAGTGAAACATGGAGGTGGATCGGTCATGGTGTGGGGTTGTTTTGGTGGTAATAGAACTGGAGATCTTGTTCATATCGAAGGAATATTTAATAAAGAGTATTATCATAGAATTTTACAATATCATGCCATTCCCTCTGGACAACGAATTATAGGTCGAGGTTTTATTCTACAACAGGATAATGATCCTAAGCACTCGTCTGCACTGTGTAGAAATTACCTAGATAATAAAGAAAAGCAAGGCGCGCTTAAAAATATGATTTGGCCTGCACAGTCTCCGGATTTAAACCCCATAGAGTTGTTATGGGATGAGTTAGATAGAAATGTGAGAAAAATGCAGCCAGTAAATCAAAAGCAACTTTGGGATTACCTACAAGTCTGTTGGAGTCAAATTTCAGAGAATTCTTTAAAAAAACTAATAGAAAGAATGCCGAAAGTTTGCTCTGCCGTGATAAAAGCTAAAGGAGGATATTTTGAAGAATCTAAAATTGGAAAAAAGAATGTGATATAATTATGACGTTTAATTTAAAATTAATTTATTTTCATGTAGTTACAGTGTGTAAATTAGTAATAAAGTAACAATAAAGTAATACTGAATTTTCATTAACAAAACTGTGTGTATTCCAAATTTTAACACGTGATCGAAAACTTTTGACTGGTACTGTATATCATAAGGCTCCTTCTTAAAAACAAAAATAAATTACAAAGCTACAATATTAATGAAGTGTGTGTACTATTTATATATATATCATTGAAATCTGAAAAAATAAAAATAAAATCAACTAACAATCGAAAAATGATTCTTAATAATCAGCGATTACTGTTCAAAATCAATAAACTTCACTTTTAGAATTGCCTGGCTATGCTTTTAATCACACAACTTCAAAAAGAGTTTCTAAATTTCTTAACCGCTTTTCTAGTTATTAACAATAACTTATGACCGAATACATAAGTATTTAAAATCGGGTTAAGTTAAAAAATGTGTTTAAGTAAGTATAAACTAAGGTTTATAAAAAAAAACCATTAATCCAAAACTCATAAAATGATTGGGGCCACCTTAGAAATATACTCTTATAAACAAAAAAACCCATCAAAATAACTCCACTATTGACCAAGATATCGTGGATTATACCTATACCAAAAAAAAAACATTTAAGCAAATTCATAACGTCCTTTTTTTAAATAGTGCCTGTTAGATTAACTTAACATAAATGATTTTCAAATATGACAATACTTCATAAACAATCAGTACAACAATAGTACACTTACCCTAAATAAATCACAAACCGTTATGTTTTCAACGAGAGTTACAAATTTTACGCTAAAACACACGCAACCACACGTATTAACTGATTACACACTGACAAATTTCAACCAGTCTTCAAATAAGAACGCATACGTCTTGTTTCTTTGAATAATATCATAGTAATGCTTTTACTGATGTTTAATTTTTTTTACTTTTCTTAATCTCTCTAGTTTTATTATAAACTGTAATCCCTAAAATTTACGGTTTATTATCCTTTGAATATACTCGGGAAGATCAACTCACGATTGACGAACATGTGGGAGCAAGGAGTGTTTTTTTAACTAAATGATATTGAGTTACACTTATCCAATGCACGCTTAAAAGACTACTTGTTAATAATTTTGTTCGTTAAAGCGTCAGTGTATAAAACACAAGTGTATCGGTCTCGGGCTATTTACCGTAAGTGGTTCTTTCTCAAGGGATACGAAAATAGAACGAAACGGACGCTGCGTATGACGTAAAACGATGACGGGCACCGTGGAACGTATCGATTTGATACGCTGATGAGATTAATGTTGCAATTCAAGAGGCGTTGATCAATCCTAACAAATTAAATACATCTATCTCAAACTGATTTCATATTATACTGTTTATAAGTGTAATCGATGAGACAAATTTTACGTTTGTCATGAAATTCAACAAACATAAATTTTTCGTTCAAATAAACATAGATATTCTGATTTGAGTCTTAAAATAGCATGATTATCATATAGAAATTAAATTCGTAGTAGTTTTTTTTTGTCTGTGTATCACGTAACCTGAAACACGACCCACCGACACGACAACATTAATGATTATTATTTGAAGTATACATATGAATCAAATAAAAAAAAAATAAGTATCAAGATATTATAACCCAACTCTAAATGTTTCTTATAATATGATTCAATGTTAAAACTGAAGCTCTATGAAATGGAGAAAAAGTCGAAAAAGAGTTTTTTCAGTAAATTTGAATTAAGAGTGGATACTATGTAACATGCTGTGCGATGATTTTTTTTATCTTAAAGTGTATGTCATAGATTGTCTAGTCTCAACTTTAAAATGTATATTCAATATCAAACACTATATAGTGTTTGTTATTGTAAATTTGTAAATTATATTCACGTATTGTTTCTCTCTCTTTTTAACCAACGAACATAGGAGTTACAAAATAGAATAAGTGTCTATAAACAGGTCGCTACTTATGATATTCGTAGTATACCCAAAGATTGATGTCTGATTTGGTCAATATACCTGCAATTTCTTTACGACAATTATAGGTATAAAAACTTTATCATAAAAAATAGACCCGACTTCAAACTTTAAAAATGTGATAAATAATACTTATCTTAAAAGCAACTTATTCAAGAAAATACTATAGAAGTTTTCTGTATGTTATTAATTAAATGATAGGCACCCGACTTCAATAGCATTTTCTTGAATAAGTTGCATTTGAGATATGTATTAATCACTTTTTTAAAATTTAAAGTCGGTTCAAATTTTTTTCAGTTTTTATTTCATTCTGTTTAGTGATATTGAAAATTAAATGTCTATGTAAATAAAAATATTCAAGAAAGTAAGTCTTAGAAAATGAGATTACTTAATATTCGGGTGACATAGGGTATAATTTACGCAGGAAAAGTCGTGGGGAAATAGCTAGTTTGATAAAACTTGGTTCACAATTCAAGAAGAAATCGATGAACACACCTATTTACATAATAATGAATGAAAAATACGCAAACTTTTGTTTTTCCGCTGATATAAATATATTATCAAAATATTTAGGTGATATCTGATGAAAAGCATATTTTGTTTTGTTATAAAAGAAAAATTATATAATTTAAATAGGAACACTTTGGTCCTGATAAATATAAAGCTGTTGAATAAAAAAAAGAATTTTGAAAACGGGTCAAGAATGCGCGGAAAAATTGGTGAAAATACATAATAAATGCATCTTCGTTGAACGTACGTGTAACATTCTACTTTTCGATTTTGAAGTCTGTTAAAATCCTAACAGATATTTTTTTTTGTTCTTTTATACGTGTCAGATATGTGTACTTTCATCTACTTTTTGTTTATATTACTTTTGGTTGGCATATTATCACTTATTTGTCTCCATATGTTGCACTATGTTTTGTAATAAACAATTGAGTCATCATCATCATCAGCCCTTTTACGCCCCCCTGCAGGGGCTCAGGCCTTATGGATTGTTAGGGAGGATGGGCCATGACCCTCCACGCTGGCCCAATGCGGATTGGAGGGTATTAACGACTGCAAATGCAGCCGGGACCAACGGCTAACGTGCCTTCCAAAGCACGGAGTAGCTCGAGATAATAATTTTTTGGTCACCCATCCCGTTACCGACCCTTGCGAAAGTTGCTTAACGACAACGATCGCGGGCCGCGGCGCTTATTCACTACGCCACCGAGCTACTTTGAAACAATTGAGTATTGAGTATATATCAGTCCAAGGTTGACTGGTACAGTCGCATATGCTAGCGCATAAAGAGTAAAATAATAGTTATTTAAGATACGAGTGCGGAAAGTAAGGTTATACGAATAAGGGCCAAATTATTCGTATAACGAATTCGAAAACCTTTTACGCTCAAGTTGCTTACAACATTTTTCAATGCTTTTTGCGAGGAAAAAAAACAAATATATAGGTTAATAAAACTAAATATGTATTAAATTATTCGTTAAAATTAAACGTGATATTTGAACATGTTTCGTGTCATACATCTTTATTTGAAAATATTCGTTCCAGGCTCCTTGAAATACTTTTGCCTCTAAAGTTTGACATATTTTCATCAATTTCTTTTTAATTTCTTTGATGCTCGGCCAAAAAAAAATACTTTTAAGCACGTGTGCAGTAAAGGATTTCAGTACATTTTTATTTAACACGTGTTTAAAGACTCACTTTTTGTGTTTACAATGGATTTAAAAATTGCGCTTTATGAGCAACTGCATTGAAAATATAATAAGTACATACTTGGCGAGCTTGGAGAGTAGAGCCTGGCTGGTGGCGCGGGGGGCGCGGGGCTCGGGCGGGGGCGGGGAGGGGTCACGCGCGCGCTCGAACACCTGGAACCGGGACTTCACGTCCAGCTGCGACAGCTCCTCCAGGCCCAGGTCCGGCTTCTCAGACGCTATACTCACAACCACAGAACATAGAGAGCTATGATGTGCCTCTGGCAACATTGGCCCGAAGTAGCAATCTTACTTACTAGATATTTCAGGTTTTCCCTATAATATGAATAAGTGCGAGCGGTTAGTTTCTTTGTTTTTTCTTGAAATGTAATGCTATGTTCACGTAATAAGGCTTATTATATAAGGCAGGTAATAAGTCGGGATTTCCCCTATACGTTACTGTACGCATACTTGTTTTTAATTATTTTATAATAAATAAACAAATATTAAATGAAGCTACAAGCAGCTTAAAAATTGCAGCTTATATATCGGATATTTTGATATTTATTTAAATATCGGGTTCTTGCGAACCCTGTGTGTGTTATATAAGGTACGTACAGCATATTTAATATATCTGGCATACAAAATATTTAGGTAAAAATTTATAATAATATAAAAAAAAACATGTGACGCGAATCCAATACATTAAGGTCCCTTATAAATAAAATTAATAAGTAATAAATTAAGAAAAAAAAACAAATGCATAATTCTTATAATAATTAATTAAAGATTTATATTTAAAAAAAAGTCAAGCCATTCATTCAAATTTAAAGTAAAATGAAATAAATAATCGATAATGTTACGAATAAACACAAACACTTTTATATCAACATGTTAATTAACCGCCCGACTTTGTTTTCAACCATGCATTCACAATTTCACAATTCAACAAAATGAAATGAAAATGTCTTTATTCAAGTAAACCCGTTTCAAGCACTTCTGAATCGTCCAATAGTCATATCGAACATAATCTATTTTTAGGATTCCGTACCCAAAAAGTATACGGGACCGTATTACTAAGATCGCTTTGTCGTCGTATGTCGTCTGACGTATTTCTATTACCGCTAAACGATAATAATAATAATAATAAAAGAACGGAACCCTATGTGCGCGAGACCAACTCGCACTTGGTCTTTCTTTCTTATTCCTTAACAAATTTCCTTAAAGAAGATGATGCCATAGAAAGGTTTCCCTAAAAATCTCAAAAGGAGGGTAGGTTGAAAAATATATATGCGGCTGCGTGTATCACGATCAAAGACCGCGCATAAACCATTTTTTAAGGTTTTTGAAATGTTTTTTTTTTTATATAAACTCATACCTCTAACAACATCTGGCGGCAACTCCACGGGGTTGCTCTCGCATATAATCATCTGATGTTTCTTCGGAGTGGCTGTATAGACAAATAAATATACAAATTACTACCTTAAAGCATGTATATATAGATCTATAACACATTTTAAATTGTAAATACGCTCACTTTCGAAATGGCATTAGTTAAATTTGGGGATTATGGTAGCAATGACTTGGGCATGAAATTCTGTCTGATAAATATTCATTTATCGAATATCATTCCATAAAGAATATAATAAAACTTAATAATACAATACAAAAATTCTTTGCGGATAGATATTCGATAATTGAATAATAAAAGCATGCCCTACTTATGACACCTATCATAACTCGCAATCTAACTAGCGCTATTTAACCGACTTCATTAGTAATTAGCTTTTCAGACTAACTCCCATTGGTAACTCTGTTCTGCGATTAGACGAGCATACCATTAAAAAATTATGAATATTTCTACATTAACCATAAGTTATAAAATAAGGTACATTTGTAGCATTGTGTGAAATGCGCAGATAAGCCATTAATAAAAGAAGAAGAAAAGCTAGACGCTCATTTAACGATTTTACTTTTATAACAGTAGAATTCTTGTATTATTGCAACTTTCTGTCGCCAGATTGCAACAGTAGCATATGTAATAAAAAGTTTTTTATAAACGTCATTGACAGAGTAGTGAGCAAAGAGTAATGAGAATAGTAGTTATTTAATATTTTTGAATTAATAATTAGAAAGTGTAATTTTATCCATTTATACATGATTGCCACATATTTGGATATCAAAAGAAGAGAAGGGAATCCTTTATTTCCGAAATATAAAATGTGCGAAAAAGTTTGTTGAATACATATGTTAGTGCTGCCATCTATGCAGAGCTTTGCGACTAAGGAACTATTGACAACTTATTTCATACATGCCGGCTGGTTTTCATGGCTTCCGAAGTTCGGTTAATAGCTTTAAATATACTTTATACTATCGATTATACAACATGTTGCGAAATATTTACCGTCTGTTTGGTCTTCATCGTCCACTGGTTTGGGTTCGAATAACTGCTTGAAATGAGGCTTGCAGTATAACGTGGTGTGATCACTCTGGTAAGTCTCTACGCTGCAGAAAAACAAATCAATCACAATACATTTAGAAGCTTGCGCACAATGCGGAGTATAAGCTACTTTCGCGAGGACCAGTCTTAGAATGGGTGATAAAAAAATATTCTTTCGGAAGGCAAGTTGAGCCGTTGCTTTCAGCTGCATTTCTAGTGGTTAACACTCACCAACCTGCACTGGGTCTACGGTGGAGACATTAATAGGCTGATGATTTTGACAATTTACTCGTAATTTACTTACTTTATTACTTTCTGTGTGTTTGTATTTAAATCTAGTTCTGTTTAAGAAAGTAAGAAACGATAGGAGCATAGCTTGAAATATTTACAAGTGGCACAATTCACTTACGTTAGCTGTTTATTGCACTGGACGCATCTAAAGCATTCTTTATGCCACACTCTTCTTTCAGCTTTGATCCTCTCCATGGCGTACACTGGCCTTGAACATTTCTGACATTGCGGGTTCGATTCTCCGTCAGCCGCAGCTTTCATCTTCTTGTGTAATTTCTCTGAGCTTTTAGACTAGAACAAATATCATTGGTCAGATGACTATAGAATAAGCCGAATATCAAACATTTGCAATAGACTTCGAACTTAACATACGCTGTGATAAGGTTTATAATCGATTGGAGAAAATTGACAATGACGATACGATACTTCTTTATAATAACGGATATTTTTGCGCAGGTTCCTTGGCCCTAAGGCAAAGACCAAAAATGTAAAATAATTTTATCGCACATTTTACAAGGTTACAAAATAAGTGAACAGATATTGGCAGAAAAACACAAAAATAATTTATACAGCTGTTGCGATAAAGAAAAAATGTTGGTAATATAAGTAACACTTATAATAATGAATTGATGTGATCACCTGTTGATTGTATACGTACAATAAAAAAACATCAACAATCCTATTGAAAAGTTGAGAGCAAAACAAACAACTCACCACTGATATTGATCCTTCATCCTTATGCCTTCGCATGGATTTCTTTTTCTTGACTTGCCTTTGTTCAGAGACCTCTTGATAGCTCCGTTGGACCCTCGATTCTGTCTGAATGAGGGTCTGGGACGCTTCCATTGTGGCTGTAGCGGTTGCCATCGCCATTACTTTGTGCTCTGAAAAAAAAACTATGATTCCATTTCTGAACTAAAATAAAAAAAGAACTTGTTTGTCATCCATAAGTCCAGCTAACAAATCTCTAAAATTGACTATTTATTTAACAAATGTTTTCAGAATAATTTGCCTTGTAGGTCATAAAATTAGGCATTTAATAAAACAACAAACCGCCCTTAATTATTATTAATAGTTTTTAACTACTGCTTATTAGTCATAGTCATTATTTGAATGATGTCAGACATAACCTTCCCATAATATACACGTAATTTAGAAAAATTAAATCTTATAAGACGATGTTTAATGATTTTTATAATCTGACCGAAAGAAATTGGAACTGCCGCAAGCATGATGAATTTCTTTTTCTTTTGAGTGCTTATTAACTTTTTTATTACTCTGGCGACATGTGAACCTCCTTCGACGTTAAAACACCAAATGTCTGCAAATAATTAGGTGTTCTCCTTTAAATACTTTTCACAATGAAGACCTGAATCATATTTTGTTGCGTATCAACAGTAAATAGTACGGTGACTGATACGAAAAGCGGAGGAGGTAAGGTTATGCCCACTGAGAAGTGTGTTAGTAAGTAGTTTTTATTTTGATCTATGTATCAGGGAACATTATCTTACAGAAAGAAATGTTCGAAAATACGAAAGAAACAGAACGTGTATTTTATTTGTATAAGGTACCTATTCACTAAATTTCTTGGCGATTTCAAAAAAGGAACACTTTTGTAAACTTAATTTACACCGTCTTATACGTAGAGCTAAATAAAACAAAACCTAGTTTTATTTATCTGTATTGTTTATAAACAATTAATTACATACATAGTTTACTTTATCTTCGATCATTAGCTGAAATCTTACCAATAGTTTCATGACCTCCCAACATTTCCAAGATCAAAGAGAAGCCGAATGGTAATATAGCATGTAAAGAGAAATCTATTGGATGACAAATATCCTAACAAAATATCAACAGTTTAACATTTATTTTAAAACTAGCTCTCCGACATCGCCTACTTTTATCCTTATGGAACTAATAAACCCATTTATTAAACAAGGCTTAAAATTACCCATACACGAAATTTCATCATAAACCGTTTAGTAGTTTATAAGTGAAGAAGTAAAAAAACATTCAAACTTACAAATTTTCGCCTTAATAATATTAGTATGGTTAAGGGAAAATGATTGTACGTTATTTTGATTGCGTTATTATTAAGAAAGGACAAGAATTGGGACAACTCTGTGACCCGTCCAATACATTTCAAAACAGAGTCAACGTTCCATTTTACGGGATGAGACGATCAAAACAAGAATTTCAATTCAGTGTGAACGCATTAAAATGTTACAGCTACGGTTCACATTAGAAATAACAGAGTTTCGGACGAGAATACCTACTTACCGTAACACCAAAAAAATAAATATCTAAATTTACGCCCGCCCCAATTAAATAACGTTTGGAAACTTGACACTTATTTTTTTTCCATTACGACGCGGGAAAACAAAGAAGTTGGGAAACTGTCTATGGTATTTTAGGCGCGCTGTTTAATTTTCTAAAATTTTCACGACTTGATCTTTATGCCCAGCAATTTGTATCGCTTGTAAATTGCTTGTAAATCAATATTCTTAAAGTTATGCTTAGGCACATTTAAAAGTCAAAGATTATTTATTACCTATTAAATATCTGGAATATCGTATTTATTTACTATTAAATATCTGGATATTGAATACATGTATCTAACACTATATATATCTTCGAGTTCTGTGACCTTTTCTGTATAGGTTGTCATCTTGTTTAATTTATGATTCAATACCTTTATCTGTGGTCATGGTATTTATAAACGTGTAATACATTTGTTTACAGCGACGTAAAAGAGACATACCTAATAAATTACTGATCGTCTATTTATAAAAATGCTATTACAACACACTGCAAAGTTTACACTATAAGGGCATTGTTCGCAAAATTACCACCTCATACGTTTCTAAAGCTAAGCCATTGTTTACCAGTAGCTAGGGTTGACGGTGCGCTCAAAGAGGAATAATATCATTAAAGAATTGATTCAAAACAATATTGAAATACTATACATTTTATCATTTATTTAAAAAAAAAAATGACAGATATATTGCCATAAAACAAATATATTTTAGGGATGTGAAATAGAACTTTTTTTCTGTATAATTTGAGAAAATTAAAATCATTAATAACAGTTATATATTTGATTAATTTTTCATTAGCAATTTAAATAAATTTGTTAAAACAAATTCCAGCTATAATATATGTGAGGTAAATACTGTTATTAATATTCTTAATCATAAATGCTTAAAAAATTCACTTTGTCCCTGGCACTCTGATGAGTCTGAGATGGAACTCGAACCCATGACCTTTCACAATCCGGACGACTGTTCTACACACTCAGCTTCCCAGGACCTTCATGGGCCTTCCGGGCGACTGCTCTAACCACTGAGCATATTAGCATTTTTCATTAAGAACATTAATAACAGTACCTCACAATATTATAGGTGAAAATTATTTTAACATTATTATTTTATTACTTGTGTAGAAGGTCCCTGAAGTGAACACCCTAAGAAACTTCTACGCTTCTGGACGAAATTGGGTTGGCTTGAGTAAAACAGCCAACTTTTCGCGACCTAGTATTGACCGATAAAGTCGTTTAAATGCACAAAATTGAACCTCCATACCTAACTTTTAGTGCTTGAAATAATTCCTACCAGTTTCACCAATCACAAATTTCAGATAGGTCCTGACTTAACAAAAGAAAGGTTTCCGTTAATCTGGCAGTCAATCGTATCATCTCAATACATGTAAATTTTGTTCGGTTTTTAAATGGGAACAGAAAAAGGAAATACTGTGTCATATCATAATTATTTTAACAATAACGAAATGCTTACTATTGTTTTTAAATAATGCTGATCTTGTCTATGCGACATTATATCGGGCATAGTGTGGGAGTACAGTGACGTAAAAGAAAGTGGGATCTTGTTCATTTCGAATCGAATATTCCTGAATAACTAACAGGCGATATGTCACGCACGGCTTTCAAAAGATTTTATTTTAATACAATATACAACAAAAACAGAATGGTACGGAATCCTTACAGCATCTTTTCTTGCCTCACATGGTTTTTGCTTGGATCTCAGAAATCATGAAATATATTTGTTTTTGTGTCGCCAGCTAAAACGCCACTGCCTTATCGCGTGTCTGCCCCTGTGTTCATCCGTTCATTCGTCCGTTTGTCTCAGCTAATATTGACTAAGTTAAAATTATAGTATCTTTATGGTATGTTTTGTTTCCAATTTAACAGAATTCATTAGTATTTCTACGTTTCAGTAATGAGTATCGGTTTTCCTGCGGAAAACTGCTTATAATATTTAAACTAAAAGCCAACATAAACAATGATGACGGCATTACTTTGGTATTTATTTGTAAGCTCTAGTGAAGCAACAAATGGTAAAGCTAATTTTAAGGAAATACCACTCTGATAAACATTTTCAATCTTATTACAAACAAAATAAGACCTGAGCAGATATTAAGTCTTAGGGTAAGTTAATTTTATATTTGTTTTTCATATCTTTCTTTGCAAGATCTTGCTAGGCTAGTATCGATTTATTTAGAATAAATGTTAGAATAATAGGAATAGAAATGTATGATAATTGATAATCCATAAGTCATTATAATATCCGGCTTGAAGGACCATATGCCAATTTATAATCTATAGGTTTATATTCATATCCAGTTCGAAGGACCACATAGGTACAGGCGATTTGTCTACTATATTTTTACGCAGACTTTGACGTTCGTATATTTAAATTCTTATTGGTTTTTGAATGCACATTTTCTAAAAAATAAACGAAGCTCCTGCTTTGTGCTTATATCTATGATAATATTATAAATAGGAAAGATTTGATTGCTTGCTTGTATCGAAAAGGCTTCGAAACACTGGACCGATTTTAAAATTATTTCACGTACGGATAGTTACATCGTTAAAACCATGCATGTTAATAGCACTAACCTACATATTTAGTCCATTACTTTTACATCATATTAGGTAATTATCGCACAATAAGCATATTCATTATCAGGTTCTTTTAAAGGTTACAAATCAAGTGCGACAATTATCCATCTTTCCAACTTTTCGCCATAATGTTCAACATTACGTATGGGGTAGGGCACGTGGATGTTTTGCGTAATTTCGTCAGAACTGAAATAGATTGAAGTGGTGTGAACACTGCAAAATCTCCAGCAACACGTAATATTTGCCAAATCATTGTTTACGTAGCCATTTTGTGTGATTTCTTTACATTTTTTCAGCAGTCACCTAAACGTTATTATTATTTTTAATCATGATATTATAAAATTAGGGTTTTCAAATTTATATGAGTGTTTTATACAACAAAATCCATTTGGCTATAAATAAATTAAGTCATAGATCGAATCATGCTATTAACGTCTTGTCTCTTTCTTTCAATTTCAATCCTTTTTGGCATACGTAAACCGTCACAAAGTCATCAAAAACTATTTGAGGCATAGAAACCAGATATCAAACGGCCACACCCTAAAGTAGCACCATCGCTGCCGGAATACGATGCATGTAATTGACAACTTCACACCTGAGTCCACTTGGCACGGCTCCCGGCCGAATATACTGCATACCCGAACGAAAATTATTAAGCAATGATAATAAATTTATGTCCCAGATATCCCTGTGTACTAAGGGAGTTTGAAAGTAAAAGGAGAACGAATAAAACTATATAAAAATAGTAGAACTAAATATAAAGTAACATTACTAATTATAGTCGTCCGGATTACGAAAGACAATGGTCTTGCGCTTCTTCTCGTCACTCGCGACTAAAAATGCAATAATGTTTCTATCAGAATCACAAATCCTTCATTTTCGGGACTCTTAAACAGTTGCACAACACTTGCGATCTCAGTTCATTCTCAAAGTTTCTCAGCTGATACTTTTGTCTTTCAGCGTGCC